TTTCAAACTTTGAATAGGTGAGCTTCACATCACACATAATTGCCAAGGTGTTGGTAAAACAGCACAGGCATTTTCAAAGGTCTGTGAAGAGGGCATTTGAGAAATGAACAGAAAGATGAAAGTCTTTCCAAGGATTAAAAAAAAGCAGACTCTCAAATGAGAAAACTTGAGAGCAGTGAGACTGACTATCTCACTTCCCCAAACCAAATTCATTCCTCAAATAGTACTGTTTTTTTCGAAAAGGAAACAACTTAACCAAACAGTTGAACGTGGTTGTCAATCTTTTCCTTCAATTTGTTTTATCAACTCAACAGGAAAATGCGGATAGAAAATCTTCATGAGGGACTAATTCAGAGAATTATTCACAAGACAGAAAGCAAATTTTGTGTTGACATGTTCATACTTACATTGTACTGCGAAAATTACATGCACAAGCCTGGTACTCTGCCCATTCAGTAATCTATCAATAATGTTCAGCACACCAGCTGTCAGGATATGGGGGATCACTTGAAACAGACAAGATTCATTTGGGCTTAAGGCCTTGCTTGCTCAGTGAAAGATGCCTGTCACACTCAAGGTTTGTCTATCTTGGGCAGCATCACAATGGAACAATTTATGACTGGTCAGGGAGGAGGGATTACAAGGGCGGGGATAGGAAGCAATGGCAGTGGAACAATTTTCAAAGTGGGGAGCAATTTGTGAGACCATCATGCATCAGCAATGTAATTCAAAGGACCTTCCAAAAATGCTGGGAGGGGCCATAACCCTTTAGTGGAAAAAGTAGGAGGGGGTGGACCAATGCCCTCTCCCCCAGCCAGCGCTAAGCAATCCAAGAGAGGCTGAATTTGGCCAAGAAGCTGAAATGTTGAACATTGACTAAAATGTATGTTCCGTGATCGTGAACACTTCTAATGTTTGAGTTGTGACAAAACATGGAATGAAACATGAGAGTGAGGAGTGAGGAGAAATGAGGAGCCTCTCAGGAGGATGACCGATGTACATCTTGTCAATCTGTAAATGAAGACTTATTTGCATATTTATCCCCAGTTGGTTTTGGATAGGCTCAGCTAAAATCTCACCAAACCTTCAACCCTACAAGGAAAATACCCAAAATACAAACAAATGAGAAAGTAGAGAATCTGCTGTTTTCAATCAACACGTACAGTTTCAGCACATTCACGATCATAGTCCCAACTATCAAAGTAAAAAACATTGAGAGTTTGTGGCAAATATGTTTTGCAGAAACAAGGTTAAAAAATGAGGCACCTGGGCCATTGAACCCACAGCACTGTCAAGAAAATATTCAACTGATCTTTTCCAGTAAATTATCCAGACTCGTCTCCTTACCAGCAATCAATCAGGTATGCTCTGTAATTTGAGAGGGCCTGGAATAGAATACTGTTGTTGCATATATGCTGGGTTCCATACATACTGATGGTAAGAAAGTGCAAAGACATCTGTGTTGCAGTCTCCAAGAAATGCTTGGAGATTATTGGAACAAAACAGTTTGGGCAAACTGCCAAATTTAAGCAAGATATTTCTTGAGGACTTTGTGCCAATAAATAATGAAGGTTAAAGATGTGGGTCATCGCTATGAGTGAAATGATTCTGTATTTGCACGGTATACACCAAGGAAAACTTTACCAAAAGAGTTTGTATGATAAATGTACAGGCTAAATGGATTTCCTCCATGCCAGCAATAATCTGCCCTAGTTAATAAATGATTGCACTCCAATCTAACGTGCATCTTCCGCAACCTCTCTCGGTAATTTCACAAGTCATTACGCACAAGCTGTTGTACACGCTGGCAGAAATTCATGCTCAAACTGCGCACAGTCAAGAGAGCATGGTACCGGTAGATCACATCACAAACTCTCAGCGAGATATATCATGTGGGAAAAAAAGAGGACTGTGCCCTAAAGTGGGATTCTACAAATCACACATAACCTCCATCTCCTAGATTTGATCACAAAGCTCTACAACTTGACATCAGTGATCGCTGTATGTACGAGGCAATGGAGACAACACTCCCTCAGCTCAGCCTTCAGGGCTGAGCAGATACATTAACTTTCTCATTTCAACAGAAATTCCCTGTAGCTAGCTAAGACACTTTGCGTGCATCACTAGAGTTTGCAATTTAAATTTGTCTTCAATTGGCAGTGCATTGAATCTATTGATCAATCAAAGTAGAAGGTCAAAAACAATGTCACCAAAAATGACTGGAGTTGGCAATGTAAGATTGAAGGAGCTTACCTGAATCCACTTGGAGGTCTGTTATGACGTGAAATTCTCCTGTTTTTCTTTTTTAATAAGTTAGCCAAAAAATTCATGTAATTGTGGCTATAAAAGTAACTTTTATAAATTCTTGATGCCAATGTGTTTATAAATGTATATTTCGGTCTGTAATGCATACTCTGAGTGTACATGAACATGTATGTGGGACACTGGCAAACAAGTTCTATTTTTAACACAGCAGTCAAGATGCCTCGATAACGCTTCAATCCACTGACATTTCAACACTGTCATGCAGCGTCAATAAAAAAAACATGGAATGTAACAACAAATTTTATTTACATGTATAGAACGGAAATAAACTGCATCCAACCACTTTACTGATTATTTTTGGAAGCAATCATAAACCTCCTAACATGTAATCCACCACACAGAATTTCCCCCAGCACTTTTCAGTCAATAGCTCCACGAAAATATACAAAAGGTGGCCAAGGATTTCACAACAAAGTCTGTCAGGAAAAATAAACAACCACAGGGACGGGAGTTCTGTGGAACAAACATGTTTGCCTGTTTTGAGCTGACTTGTTTAAGAGGGTAAAACTAAGAGACACCGCACACCCCAAACAGAAAAACAGCCAATTAATTTGAAATTTGATGGTACAGGCTTTCCCGGCCAATTTCGGAAAACGCGCAATCTAATTTGTAAAATAACATTTCAATTTAGCATAGATTTTGAAAACGGTTTCATTTTTGTAATAATAAGCATTTGACTTTGTTTTGCATCCTTCAAATAAATGAATGTGCATTACATTTCATTAAAGAGGTTACAAATACGTGACTGGGATTTCGGACTGATGTATTCCTTGCCAATTACACCAAATGTGCATTTTTATTTGCTGAAAATCTGTCTTTTACCCTTCAGAAGTGAGTATTCATTTTCATTGGCTGTAATTAAAAATCACAAAATGTACATTCAATTTGATTAGAATATATACAAGGTTACATAATATCATGAAACCTTTTTGATAATAAATGTCGCGTTACTCATTTACAGTGTGTTTGTTATCAAACTATAAAAAAATAAAGGTTTCTTTGATTGAAACGCAGCACAAAAGCGAAGGTTCCCTCAGCGCCAGTGTTTATGGGTTTCCAAAAATAGTCAGTAGTTTCCTATGACAACATGAATGGTTTATTTCAATCATGAATATTAAAACATTTAACCAATCAACTAAACACTTCTAAGAATGTAACTTCTGTTCGTAGACAAATGACTTCTAATTCTTGACAAGGCATACCTTAAACAACACACAAGCGAAATCGCCTGCATATTTTGCAAAATAGCTTGAGTTCAAATTGAGATGAATGCAGGATTGCAGAGGTGCATTCAATTTGGCGCAAAAATGAATGTCAATATACTAAACCAGGTGTTACATCAGGAAATTGAACGCTGACTTCATACGACTCAATGTACCCTCCTTGAAATAGAATTTTTATTTATTAAACAGAAATGGGGATTTCAATACTTGTTTCGCTCGAAAACGAATGCTGCTTTTACTAATTCATTTCCACATTGTCCCAAACTGGCCAGGAAAACCTATATTAAAATGTATTAATGAAACGCTGGTATACTGAGCCAAAAATGGACAAAAATTCATCGCCAAAACATTTGTAAAGTGTCAGAAAATTGTACAATAACTGGCTGACAGCTTGTTACGATGATTTTTGAAATTTTTTCAAAGCTTGTAAAGTCAGAAAAATTAATCCATTGAAAGTAACTATGCATATAATCTGTCTGAGGTAAACCACCACATTTGTCACATTTGGCAAGACAAAACAGGAGGAATCCCTAAATCTAAAATGCAATTCACTTTAATTTTTATATTAAAAAAACATTCTCATCATCGTCATTCACGCTGAGAATGCGTCCTGTCAAGATCAATGATTCAAAAGTTGTGCGTGCACTGTCATGTACAAAAAGAAAAATGTTATTTGAAAAAAAAAAAGCCAACAGAAAGATTTCATCAAGATGCTGAATAATATTAAATTGTTCCAGTTGGCCTCATCTGATCTCTGAAGTCTTATTGTTAGTAACAACAGTGGACGTGTATACACATTAATTGTCAAATACAGTGGGCAGGAGATCTGATCATGCAAAAGCATACACATACAGAAACAACACCTTGAAACCGTTCCAAATTGCACTGTTAATGTCTTCCTTGACACATCTACTTTTAAAGCTAATTTTATTGGGGCAGTTCAGGAGTCTTAGTGTACAGAGAATGCAGTGACTATCTATATTATATTTGTATCTATATTATATGAGTATCTATATTATATTTGTATCTATATTATATTTGTATCTGTATTACATTTGTATCTATATTATATGAGTATCTATTTTATATTTGTATCTGAATCAATTGACTTTGCATCAAGGGTCTTAAGGACAATGAAATGCTGGCTAATGTCCAACATTCCAGTGAGACATTGAGGTGGTACAACTACATCGCAATTACTTGGCTACGGCTTACAGTAACACACAAATCCATGGGAACTGGCTGTGGCCGTGGCTAGCCAGGGGGCTGCCAAAGGTGTGCATAAATGGCTGTGGCTGTGGCTAGCCAGGGGGCTGCCACAGGTGTGCATAAATGGCTGCAGCTGTGGCTAGCCAGGGGGCTACCATAGGTTTGGATGAACTTTTAAGCCGTAGCTACATGTGATTCTAACACAGACTAATTAACTCTGATGACAAATCCTGATCTGCTTACCCTGGTTTATGTGCTTGGCTGTGCTTTATCCAGCTTGGCAAAGAAGGCTTTAACTCGTTGCTGTAGTGAGTCAGTCAAGTCACAGCACTCGTCCCATTTGTTCTTTTCAGGACTCGTCAAGCTGTTGAGGTTCTCAGCACAGCGAAGAACAAACTTCAAAAACCTGGCAGACCACCAACAGAAGGAAATCGACACGAACAGAAATTCAAAATCATTATGATTTTAAAGCTTGTAACTTGATACTTCAAATGATTTTAGCATTATGATTTTACGCTTCCTTCCTGCCTCTAAAACTGGACCTTCTTCCTAACTCCGTAATGTGATGCTGAATAATAAAGGTTATGAATAAACGTACATTTATAGGCGCAAATAGCCTCGGTAGCTGAAAGCGCCATTAAAACAAAACAACAACATTTTACACTTCTATATTCAAATGTCTCAAATCAGGTGGCGGCTGATTAAGATGATTTAAACAATGAATTAATGTTACATTCATATTCATAATGGTTATAACAACAACTTATAAAAAAATCATCATGCAGCAGTATCATAAGAGAGAGAAATTGTCCACTCACGCCACTAAAAACTATGCACACAATCAAGATATTCATATTTGGTAATGGCATGGCCATGTCTGACAAAAAAACTACATTGCAACTGCCTTTCAGCCACATGTCATTTTGCAGCAACAATTACAACGGCATGAATTGCCCGGCCCAGAGAAAAATATATCCTTTCATCCTTCAAGGTATTGTTACATGTAATTCTTTTTCAGGGCAGCACAGGGGCTCACTTAATGTCAAGGATCCTGTTTACGCAGTTGAAATGGAAAAATCAATATTAGTAAAAGGAATCATACACGTGCAATTTGGAAACTTCATGCTGGCAATTGCACATGATACAAATAGAGTGGCAGTCAGCATACAGTAGGCTGAAGAGAAAAGCTTTCTTAAATGTGCTTAGCCATACTGTACATACTATACAGCCTGATGTCCATTAGCTACGTAAATTTCATCCACTTTTTTACATGTACAAAACTCACTGCTTGCTTGGGAGCAATATACATGTACATGTACATTTGTATGAGCCTCAATAAGACCACTCCTTAATAAGAGTCATGCCACGTTTATGTCTGGTGATAGGTTCTCAACTGATTTTTGCTTAGAATATAAATTTTTGAGCAATAGATTCTGCTTAGATGATATTCACTGGCAAAAGATGTCACTTCAAAATTCATTCTTCCAGGAAGCCACATTTAGCAAAACTGGCAAATGCTGAGCAGTACATGAGTGTTGATACAAGTAATGCAGACATTTTTACGTACTCTGGGAGTAAAAACTTGGTTAAGTAATTTAGATCTTGAAGGGGGGGCTAGGGAAAGCAAAACATACTTAAGAAGAAGTTCAGCCTCCTTGGAAGCAAGGCATGCGATGCTGTGAAGGCTCCTGAGTTGGCAGAGGAGGATTAGTGCGATCAACCTCAGGCCACACGACACCCTTGGAACACTGCAAGTCAACCAAGAACACAAATCAAAGAGGAAAACAGGTCAACCAAAAAACACGCTGGATCAAGTAAGAATATAGGCAGACTACTGCATAATTAACCAATCTTTGGCATGACCGTGGAGTGGGTATAACAAAGGTGATATGCTTGTTTATAATTATAGCTTTTGCCAGCCCCTCCAATTTACAGTGACATATATTCTTCAGGAAACTAGCCAATTAAAAAAAAGCATGTAAATGGCAGCTTTGGAGAACTGATCACTCCGGGGACAATAATCCACACGGTCATAAAGTCTGGTCTTGATCATACAAAAAGTCTTGACCATAATGTACCTAAAGCCTAGGGGTTAATTGTTTACAGTCTCAACTGTGCAGGTTCTCAGTAGGCCTATTTGGCAGTGAACATATCAAGTGGAGCACTGCAGGCACCGATTGGGGGGGGATTGGGGGTTGAAACCGCCCTGCTCGGACATCAAAAAAGTAAAACAAAATTTTTTTGAAAAACAAACAAAATTCAAATTTAAGATAGAAGATGACATCCACCAGGGTTATTTTTTTCTGAGCACATAAGTAACAATTTAATGTATATTTACAAATAGGTCATTTGCGAGACATTTTGTGGTACATGTAAATTTTTCAGCATTAGGGAGACATTGGCTTTTAGGGAGGCATTTCAGTGTCTCCCTATTTTCAAACTACCAGAAGGAGGCCGAATTTTACTAGTTTAGGGCCTAAAATGAAAACATACAAAGTCTGGTTCAGATCAGATTACGGAATATTGAATTATGGGACAGTAAAGTAGGAAAAATTTTGTGCACGTTCTTATGGTAATGTCTCCCTAATGACCCACTAGCGGTAATTATTATTATTATTTAAATGTACTGTGTGACTTATAAAACATCTGATAGGCCCGACCCCTCCCTGAAAAAAAATTCTCTGTCTGCCCTTGCACTGAGATGATCAAAGCCCAAAAACCACCTACACACATACTGTGATACAAACCCTCAAAAACAACAGTGCATAAAAATGCATTAACCTCCTGAAATCCTATCAGGGGGATTCCATGGGCTGGATTTAAGGACAACGCTTCAATCAGACTGTTGCATAAGGACTGCATGGTCACGTGTGCCATCAGGCCCTGGTACTTGGCTGGCAAGTCAGGAAACTGGGAGCTTTAGATCTCCCGGAGTAATCAAATTGCTGTGAAAGCGTGAAACAAGCCTGAACGTCCGAGACACGAGCCCCAGAGAGAATTAAAGGCATGCAGTCGGAAGAACACAGGAAGACAGTCCACTTGTTCACTGATGGAGAGTCAATGAAGCTTGAGTTCATTTTGATGAGAGGAAAATTGGACCGGGCAAGGGACAATGTGTCAATCAACAATTTTGTCAGTTTTGCTTTAGGCTCATCGACAGGCTCATTGTCACCATGTGACATGAGGTTCCACTGGGGTTAAACATGGTTACGTAGACTGTGCTGATTGCTTGAATTGGGGGGGAGATAAGAATTTTTAAATGAACACTCCCTTGCAAAAAACAATGTTTTCAATAATTTGCAAGAAACTGTATGCCAATTTCTTTTTTTCACGCGTACTCAAACTAATAGTCTAACAGGGCCCAAGCTCATGTCCATCAAAACGAATTTTGTGCATACTCTCTCAAAAACTCTATCATGTTCATGGTATACATTTTTGTAAGTACCCCATACAGTGTGCCATGCATATAATGTTTGATTTTTGTTTGGCTTTAAAGATCACAGTGTAAATTGACAAATGTAGAGCATAGGATTACATTTTCATTTCCGAAAGATTTCTAATACAAAAATAAATGTCAGCTGTGGTGCAACATCAATATATTTCAAAGCCGTGAAAAAAGATACAGAAAGAAGATTGGAAAACGATGTAGACAATGTATTTCCCAGGGGAGCAGATTTAATTTTGTTATAAATCTGCATTGTAGTATGAATCTGTCACATTTCATTCCTAACACACTTTCCCACAGGACAAAAAACATACTGATTTTTTCTTTTTCCCCCCAAAAACACATTGTAGACAAATTCATACACAAGGAAGGCCCCTAGTAATGTGGAAACACTGAGCCAGCTATTGTACAAAATGACAGTATTGTAGTTAAAGCCTTTTCTGAGTCTTCAAATAAACTAAACTATCAAATGTGGTCAAAGGCATCAGGCTTGAGACCATGGGTACTTCCAGCATAGTTTCTGTACAAACTCTTATTCCATCCCATAATAAGCACTTTTATTCAGAACACACTGCCTAGTTTTCCAAGCTTGATTCCTACTCTTTCAACTAAAATATTGACACATTTGTTGGACTTGCAAAAGGACTTAACTAAGACACTCCAAAATAACTGGCCTGTGATGGTTCTTCAGAAGCAAAACTGGAGGAGTGCTTTTTTATCATTTGAGGGAAGCGTAATGTTCATCTTTGATCATGTGCCTGGACTCATCTATAGAAATTTACAGATGCTGTAGTGTTGCCACAAGCTTTTAAAGTATCTTTATGTGACATCATAAATGTTTGGGCATCACAGGAGTATAATAGATAAAATCTTGAATTCTACATTTGAAAACTAAATGCAGGACTTGAGTGTGTCTGGACATTCTGAGTTTGATCCTTTAATTTTTTGTTCACTGCACTCCGTTCTCCTTCAGCCAACAATTTGTTACACAACTTGACAACTCAAGTACACACCTCAGTGAGAATGTGCATGCATGCCATCTCAGTCTTTCTTTGTAATAGTGACTGCTGGATTGGTCAGCCATGCATGGAAACTACTTGACTTGCCTTTGGGGTCAAGTGTACATGTACATGTACTGAAAAGTGCACCTATACATTGAAACATTAAAAAACTGTACACGCTTTTCAGGACAACTAAGGGTGCTGTTGTGATGTCATTAAAGACACTGTTCAGACAGTTTACGCAGGAAGCGTTTTCTGTTCAAAATTGTGAACCCAAACTTTGCTCACTGAAAACACTCGAGAGAGGGTTGCTTGTGCCCTGCATTTACACAACAACAAAGTAACAAAGAAAAGAAAGTAAGGGACAGCAAAATATACAAAATTCGAGCAGTTTTGTGTACAAATTAATATAACATTAAGGTTGCTCTTCCTGGAATGACTTTACAGTTTTGCTTGTGAATATGAAACTTGGGATTAGCATCATAAAAATCAAAAGGCACCAAATAACTTTAAAAAAAGAAAACTTGAAAATCAGATTATTTAGCACAGAACCTTTAACCAAACACAGGGATTTATATTACCTCTTACTAAGACAGTCCATAAAAGTTGACATGCCATCCTTAGAGCATATATGGCCAAGCACGTTTCGAGGCGCATGAATTATCAAGGTGAAGTGTGAATCACTCAATTATAATGCTGATGAGGAGGCCAGGACCACATTCAAGAAAAACCTTGAAGATTTTCTGGCTTTCCCCAAAGGAAGTCCCCAGATATCTGTCATTCGAGACGTCTAGCTCTTTTCTATTTTTCTTAATCTGATCCCAGGGAAGTCATGAATTGATTTGCCCTGTAACTTGAACCTCCAAACTCTGAAATTTGCACTGTACGGTGCAGTCCTGTCTGCACTCCCTTAAGATGGTTGAAATTTGATATCTCTTTTTTTTATTTTGGAATGGGCTACTTTGAGGGGTATATAAAAGAGACAAGGGATGAAAAGAGAGGTAGCATTACAGTGGAAGGTACAGAAAGGGTGGAAATACATCCTCCTCCAGGAAATGAGCATGTTAAATAAATTTGTACACCGCGATATAAAACCAAGTTCATTCGTAATAAAACATTACATACTTTCACTCTGCAAGGGACAGGACAAATTCTTCAAGGAAATAATTTTTAAACAACCTTCTTGATTTCTATGTTGTATCCAACAACATATCTCAGTAACACGGCCCAAATCAAACTGAAAGCCATAGATGCATTTTGTTCACATGAACAACAAAGCATTTTCGCAGTGCCCACAACTTGCAAAGGATCTGTCATTAGTCACATAGAACGATGACAGGCAACACTGTGTAACATTCAGATTGCTCATTTGAGTGTAACTATCCCCTAACATGAGTTCAAATATACAGATTAACAAAAGTGTCTATTTTAACTAATCAATGCCCAATGACAAACAGGCAATGATGTAAATGTGATGTCATCCAAGAATGCACTCCTTGAGTGCATGGCCCAATACTGCAATGATCAATTTAAACTCAACTGTTGTACTTTTGTAAAATTCCAATTTAATGAGCATTCCACCTTGACCAGAAGCACCCGTTCCTTGGTAGAAAACGAGCCATGTTGGTCGGGAGTGTTCATTTTTGCTGGTAGCTATGCGACCGCAAGGCGTGCATTTCATAGCTGTCTGTGAACCAGTGAAGTGCGGTTCCTACCAAGGGAGCCTCCGTTGCTAGGAAAATTGTGCCCTCTCCTGGTTGCGCTCGGGGCTCTTAGCAGTGGTCAAAATCTTTTTCTGCTACCCCCTTTTATACTGCCAGTGCCACATCAAACTGTTTTATTCAGTTTGTCGCAAGTCAAAGCATGAAAAATTCTCTTAGCAGTGAACTTGTGCTGTATTTTGGAGGTCACAGGTTCAACTCTAACTTCAGTCCCTTATTTGTTCAACTTGAACATTATGAAAAGTATTGAGCACCATGCCTCACTCACCAATTTAGAAGTCTTGTGTAGTTGGCCCGCTGTCGGGACCTAAGGTCTTTTGCCAAATATTGTTGATACCGCAACTCTGCCATTTCCCTCACATTACGGCAGACTGCCACACAGTGGACGACGATTCGTCGCAGCAAGGATGTGACCTCAAGCTCTCTGCGAGGCCTGAAGGGAAGAATTATTACAAAGTACTTTCTTTGACTAAGCAGTCATTTCTCAAGTGCCAAGGTCCTTAACCCTGACCCACCCAGATCGGTCACCATATTCCAGTCCGTGCAGGAATTTTGCAGGACTTCACAGTGGGGAATTTGAAATATACAGGAAAGTTTATGAGCAAACATGCCTAAGAGTTAATGTTGACCCTAACAGGACTGAATCTTCCAATTTCAATATAATCTTAAATACATTATGGATTAGTTGTAAGAAGGAAACCAAAAAGTGATGGAGTGGTTTAAAAGTAGTACAATTAAAACTGGTGAGGGGCCCTGGGTTGAAAAATGAACCGAGCCAGACCCCTTACTGATTTAAAGCCAGTTGGTAAGCTTAGCATCTTTTAAAACCATCAAAATGAGGACTTGTTGACCAACAGGAGTGGGTAAACTATATTATGAATGGTTAAATTGTATATATTAAGTGCAATCAGGTTTTTTGTCTTTTTGTACAAGGAAAAAGTGCTCAAAGAACTGGTTGGCTTTTATGTAGAAATAAATATTTACCTGAACAAAGTTTTCACTGTTGATTCAGATATGCATTTCACTAACGGCTCCTGGTCAGTAAAGGGCATCACTACACTGGAATGAAATCAGAATGAATGGTGGAATAAAAACTGTATCTGTATGAAAATCTACGTCATCTGCAACTGTTCCCAACATCCACAATTTTTTTTTTTGGGGGGGGGCGACACCCCAGCTTCTGAATAGCATCAATAAACATAGTTCTCAGTTTGGGGATCTACATGTAGGACTGGCAAGCTATTTTAAGTCACAACCCTGCTGAAATGGTAACCTGGAAATTTTTTCTAATTTTCTCTTATAAAAAAAAAACAAAACAAAGAAAACTAATCCATATCTTGAAGTAAACTAATCCATATTTTAAAGTACTTTACACAAAATTTGTTGAACTTCAGTTTCAAACATACAAGTTTGAGTCAACTAAAAAAATGGACAGTCTGATTTGTTTTACCTCTGGTAAATGTCCTCCATTGCTGCAGGCATCCCATACTGCACTGCAAGTACACTTCTTGCTGCATCACATGCTAAGCTTCCTCCAGTATCTGTGCCTGACCACGTCTGGTACCCAAGATCCTCGCCTTCTGGCCTGCTTATTCCAATCCACCTAGACAGGGACTCGAGAAAGGTCAGGAGCTCTCTCTTGAGCAGTGACGTTGGGTGGAACAGTGACTGGTATTCTTCAGCAACTAGTCTTATTCTTTTGAGCATGGGCACCTTCAAAGACAAAAACTGCATCAGTATTATGATGCATACCTGAGAGACTTCATCAGGCTCAGCTGAAAATGATTACATGGCATTCGCTTACATAAGATTTCCTTGTTATCAGCTTTTTCTGCAACAGTGTACTTATGCTTTTAATGTTCTTCACCCTTGCACTTTCGCACAATACCAGTAAGCACTATTTGAAGTATGACACCCTGGTATAATGCAAAATCTTTGACTATCAATGCTGCTAACTTTGAGGGAGGTCCAAACTGTCAGGGTACCAGTCATGCTTTGGGGTGACGTTTTCTTGGTTCACGCAGCATTTGTTTCAATTCAGTCACAATCTCCTCTTTCCCTCAGGTCGTATAGGAAAGAAACTCCCCACGCACACCATTGCCAGCCTCTATGAAACTTTTAGGCTTGAAAGTTTAATATACTCACACAAACTTAAAACTGGTGAGCGGCACGATTCATGATGGATTGTGCCTTCTAAGAAGGTCTGACTGATATCACATTTGAGTGTTTAGGAACAGGTTTACTCTAAAATTGCTGTTTACAGGTTGAATGTTTAAACACCAATTCAGTCTAACGTTTTTCCATTCACTGATGCAGCCCGAAGTATACTTCCAGAAATCAACCAACACACACCCACTTACCTTACATACCTACTGTGGACATTCCTTTCTTTTCGTGCAGTTACGAAAACTCAGTGAAAATACTCATTTTTCTTGAACTGGGAACACGATTTTCAGCTGTTTTTTTGGTACAACGTTTCCTTGGCTATTCCTCTTCCTTTTACGACAGATGACCCCTACCCCAAAATGCCTCTAAATTCTTTTTCAGAAGGGCGAACGTCCTGTGCATGTTTTTAAGTCCACACACTGTCTTCCTTTCCTGCATCGTGTGGACATCTTTTATTCACAAGTCCACACTAGGTATGTAAGGTAAACGCCAATGTTTACGTTACCTATCTTAACACTATCTAAACACTATCTGAACACTCTGTTAAGTTGGATTTTTGTTGATGGTTTTCTGAACTGTTCGACAACCCTGACCCTAAATGTCTCTAAACCTTTTTTTCAGAGAGGGGAAAACCATGTGTGGACCTGGCTCAGTCCACACAAGTTTACAACAACCTGCATTCCGTGGACCTGTTTTGTTCTCAGGTCCCCAATAAAAACGATAGGTTGGCATCAGGAACAGGAACAAAATCTGAATAACCACACGTAGTGGACCTCCTTTACCACTGTACATATTTCATCTTGGGGGCTCCAATTTTCCAGTTATGGGCCCTCACCCATCCATAGACCTTGCTAACCCTCCAAGATTAAGTGTGGGCACATTCTCACACAAAGAAAACACAGTAACAAACTCCAACATTACATATTTGAAAAAGCTTAATCTCACATGGAGCAGAGACTGGTTCTGGCAATCTCTCAAGCAGTATGCCGCACAGATAGATATGATGTGCCCAGCAGTGGCTCTTGTCATGGACTGCAAGTCCAGCTCCCCGTGGCTGATGTGATCTCGCAGCCTGGGTCCTTCTGGGTGAGCCAGGATGTCAAGAAGCATCTCCTTTACACAAGAACACATGAACACAAGAACACATTTCACCAACTGTCCTGAATGAATTGTCTTTAATTCACTTTTTTCCCCTGTTTGGTGAACATAGATTTATAAGTTAATTTTTCATAATTTTTATTTTTACTTTCAATTATGAATCATTTTCCATACTCTTATCATTTTATATTCCCTTCTACTGATATGTGATGCCTTTAGATTATTGTAAATGGGGTTTTATCAGCGACCCTGATGTGGCAGCCTACCCTGTATATTTTAATTGAATAAACCAGAATAAATGAATAAAATGTTGGGAAGTGAAGTTTCATATTTAGGGCTTGTAACTCCTGATCAAAGGGTCGGGGTTCAAATCTAGCAGCTGGTTATATTTTGTGATCTAGCCACTTGCACCTGAAATGGCTTCATTTGAGCTATATACTTCCCAAGGAGCTGAGATAGCTGTGGAAGTACATGCACTTACAGGCCCTATGATATGGGTGTAAAGCGTATCGAAAGTCCAGCAATACTGAAATGTGCAGCAGAAACACATCACGTAATTTTCATTTTTACAGTCATGAATCTTGTTTCATGCCCATCACAGTTTGTAAAGTGATGTCTTGTGCAGTGAGTAACGCCACCCAGCATCTTGAAAAAGGTTGTCTTTCTGACAAAAAATGTTAAAAATGACATTTGAAGTCAAACATAAAAGTATGGAGTGCCTGATGGGCAACACAACCAAAAAAAAATCTGCTACAAAGTAAATGACCTTACCATGTAAGAGTCTCCAAGTGTTGGGATCAATACATTGTGGACTGTCTCATCTGACATGTGTGGACAAAGCATCTAATGACAGGGAGCAGTTGATAATGATTAGAATAAAATTGAACCCCTTTTTGTTTGGGATCTGAAATTCTTGTTTCTTTCATCAAAATGAACAAATGTTACTGTGATGATACTTTCATCAAAATGAACAAATTTTACTTTGATGATCTTTCCAGGTTAAATAGGATTCATGAAAATTTCACATTTCTTACCTCATCAAAGGTTGTGAAATACTCTGACTGCAAGAAAATAAGTAAGGAAAATATAAAAAATTTATTTATGAAAACAGAAAGTGGAATTACTGCAGCCCAAAAAGTCTACAGTGAAATCTATAATCTACACAATGGTATTTACTGCGTGCCCAAAGTCCTCCTTCAGCAATGAAAATTCTTAGTCCCGAGTAGATTAAACTTTCCAGCACCTGTTTATCAACATTATTGGAAGTAACACTGACACTTTGCTGACATAAGCCTTACCATTCTTCTTTCAAAATGTGTACAGTTTGTCTACAAATGTCCTCCCCTCTTGAATAAAACTGACCCACTTTCAGACAAGCATTTGATGTTCAGCACAAAACGAGACATCTTAAAAACCCATCTGATGCGCTCCAGACATTCTCTGCTTATTAGATTACCTGGCTGGATATTTCCACATCACGGCTGGCCATAACGAAATTAAATTTCATAAGGCTCTCATATGCCTTAAAAGCTTCTTAAAACGTGCCATGAGAAAAGAATAATTGCCAGAGGAATTGTTTCAAGTTCCCAATGGTCGTATTCTTGAGCAAGCATTTGTTTTTTGGGGGGTTGAACAAAATCCCCTTTCCTGCATTGCGTATCATTGATTAGTTCAATGTCATCATCTGGAATAGATTCAATCAATTTATCACGACTAGGAAAATAGGTCAATGGATAATTTTACATTTGTGTCCAACTAAACCGGGTACAGTGGAGAGACATTTCTCAAACAGTTTAATGATATGTATGAGTTGTAAATTAAAGACATGTTTTCTGGTGTATTGGAGTTTTTGAAACACGAGGCACTGTTAGTGAAAAGCCATCTAGAACTACAAAAACAAATGTACCATACTTAATACTTTTGAGGAACCTTAGATGATTTTTACGGTAGCATTTCCTTGGACAAAATCATAGCTTTTACTCACTTCAGCCGTAAGTATTCTCTCTGGACAATCATTGGCTTCTGCAAATAAAAATCTTACTCCGTTCTCCAACTGAGGTAGCAGTAACACACAGGTGATGCCATATCTAAAAACACACATGTAAATGCAGGTAAATTAAAACCAAATTCTGGAGAAGAACAAAAAACACAAAGATGTACAGGAGTGCTTTAACTTGACAACAAATTGGACTAAGCATTACTTACAGTACCTCTCTGCTCTAAAGTAGTCCAAGGCTTCTTTACAATAAGGCAGCATGGGCTTGTGAAAGAACTGACTGGTTGAGAAGAGCTCCAACAAGTGATCCAGATCAGTGACGTGGATATCTGCAGTCCAAATTATAAAGACACACAATAACATGTAGCATAACAATCCTAACGGTGTATGATTGAAGGTTTGAAACTGTGGAAGTTAACTTACTTCTTGACCGTGTTAAGCCAAGGTTTACTTGAATATGAAGAAACATCTTATTCTGCCAACATTCCAATTTACACCACTCCTTCATTGAGGCGACCCAAATGTCCCAGAGTGGTACAAGCCACTCTCTAGTTCACATGCACAACTTCAGTCATGTTGTACTCAATTCTGTCTCCCAGAATGTGGAAATATCAGGCGTTAAGGTACATGTAAGTCAGAAACCAGTGTGCGTACAGAGCCCTTTTCACTACGGGGAAGAATACAAGTCCTTTGGCAACTGTCTGTGCAGCGCCTACAACTCAGGCAGTGTGTCACACCACCCTCAAAGCACTAAATTAAACACCGCCATGTTATTTTCTCTCCATTCCTATAGTACCACCTTGTCCTTCAGTATACTTGAGGACTTAGAAAATGTTACGAGTACTCATACCCTCTCTAACTGACCTGGGAATGTTTGCTTGAAGACTTCAGTGTCTATCTGAGGTAACAAGAGCGGCTCTCTGTGTGGAATACTACTGGAAGGGATGTTGAGTTCTTCCAGCAATTGACCTAAACTTGCTGTTACTATCAGGAGGAAAGTGCTATACCTGTAGGAGAAGAATTGAGTAGAGTCAGAAATGATTATGTTTTAACCCTGTCAGATTAGGAACCAGAATATCATCATAACACACATATTTTAACATGCCAAGGCACCAGGAGCTTTTACGCTGATGTCTTACAATCTTCTGAAACCCATCTTATTTTTATAAGATCAATCTATTTCAGGAGCAGTATTTTAAAAAATTCTACTCCTGAAAAATATTGACCTTTTCAACACACGTACCAAAAACAATTAACTTTTTTTCACTGGGATGTGCTAAATCAACAACACATGAGAGTGTAGGTAAAAACAAAGACTGGTCATGGGGTGGCCAAGAGCTTGAGTGGACCTCCCAGGGTACCTAGGGGGCCAAAAAAATGACCCTTAATAAGGTTAAAGCTGAGATTAAGTATTTTTCATTGACATCCAAATTGTTCTATTTTATCAGTCTTATGGAATGCCAGTGATGAACCTTTAAGTATTTTGAATGTTTAATTTCTTTGACATTGCTATGAAAATGAGTCTTTCAAGGTAAGTTGCACAAGGATTTTTGTCTTTGAAAAAGGCTAAAAAGGAATTCAGTGAGCAAAATATTTGAACAAAGTGAAGGCACTTCTGTCTTAATTTAATTTTATTTTTTGTGTTAAATACAACCTGTCCAGTTGTGGACATAAGTATGTTCGAAAGTCTTTCTCATTTTTATAATCAATCAAATATGAGGCTAAGCAAACCTTTGAGGAATTTCATCAGGTGCAGCAAAGCCATGCCACAATATATTCCGCAGATTGAGACTGACTGGGGGACCAATCAGAATGCGTAAAAGACTGATCTGTACAGAAAAATGCACCAATGAGACATCAATTAGCATGACAGCATACCTTTCTTTGAAATTCATGACAAAGTTTGCTGAAGGACACTTTCAACACCACTTTCACTGAGAGCTATTTCATAGTCATGCATACTCTAAGACTCAATCCACGACTAGGTGACAATGGGAGACTTTTGAGACTCATGGTGGCAGCAACAAACCGGTCCCACGTGACTGATCTGCACAACAGCAGCTGTTGTTTGCCCAAATTGGAGCAACTGGGCACAGTAGTGGACTGGAGGACCTGTAGATTAGCTGCCACCCCACATCTCGAAAGTCTCCCACTGGCTAGCTGTGAGGCACTGACCCAACAACTTACTGCACTTTCTCCAAAGGTATCCACAAGCTCCTGTGTAGCCAAGAGATTCTTCAGCATTGCCGGGCAAGGATCATTGCTCTTCAAAAGGAAAACCTTGCAACACGCACAGAAATATGACAGTTGATGTAAGCAATAGCCATTTAGAAACTGTCTGTTGCAGATAATATGCTAATGGCTACAATAGAATCTTGTGACAGACAGGCTCCAACAGAGCAGTAAAATATAAGTCAATGAAATAAATATTCATTGATTGTCCCGTGGAGGATTTTTGAGGACTGAGGAAGTACAGCCCAGCCACTGCTACTTTACAAGGGGTCTGATATCCCTAGAAAGTTTAACTGCAAAGAATGTATCATCGGTTTCCTGCACAAAAGGTGATCGGGAGTATTGAGGAAGGCTCCTTGTAAGAATGTAGAATATACACGTACATCTCCCAGTGCTCTTTCCAAGGCTGCCGTAGATAGCAATATGCTGAGACTGGTGTCAACCCCTCGACTTGACCTCGCCATGCTGAAACAATCCAAGAACAGCTACGAGGAAAACAGAGATGAGTTGTGCATACTGTCTCTCTTGCTACCTTTACACTGCTCATTCTTTTGAAAAGGGTAATATTCTGTGAGATTGAATGATGGATGAAACCACACCAGAGTTGTAATGAATGCACTTTCTGAGTGTTGTTTTTTTACTTTTTTACCTCCCAGTTTGTTTACACTAATCTGAATGTCCAAAGATGTTCATTTCTTTTGGTATTTATTAACGAGTGTCCATATAATGCAGTTATACAAACCAAACATTCTGAGAGAAAACTTAGTATCTGGAAAGTGCCCAACTACAACTTAGACCTCGACAAATGAATTTCCAAGGAATCAAAACTGTATGTATAACGTATCTAATTTGACTCCGAGCACAAAACACTTTTAAGCAAATGCACAAAATACCATCAAAATTCAAGGGTAGATCCAGGAACAAATTTTGGGGGCTCCAGAATTTTTTTGGTCAGGGGGCCAAAAATTTAGACATTTCTTTACCCAGTATGCTACCCTTTATGGCAATGCAGAGAACCGATGGTTAACCCCTTGACGACGGGAATTTTTTTTCCAAAAGCCGACTCCAAGAATTCCAGCCTTACTTTGCCACAAAGGCCACCTGCCAAACCGTAAATTCTCGGTTTGTGGCCCTGCGTGCTCTGCATGCTTTGAATTAGAGTGAAAACGCTCATTGTTCGGTGGCATGCAGCTCTATTCACGCTTCCACATTCCCGTTGCCTCTTTTCAAAGTGGGGACTATTGTGAAGCTGGCGATTATGATGCAAATTTGGTCTTTTCAGGCCAATCACCATATATACAAAAGTCAGGGTCTGCCTTCTTTAACTGTGTTCGCTCGAGCGTGGGCTGAGAATAATAGCTGAAAAGCGGGCCGAGGATCACAATTTTTACGGCGGCTCTTACCGTCTCCCGGCGCGAAGGGGTTAAGGGCTTCTTGCAAACTTTTGAAGGAAATGGCAGTGAAATAGTCCCCCCCCAAAATTGCCTTTTTCACATCATTTTGTTCAAAAACCATAAATATTTTGGCTCTTTTGAGGGGCGGGAATGGCCCCCATTAACCCCTTATCCAACAGCGTCCAAACTGTGATTTGACACCGACTTGGCTGGATAGACCCATCTCTAAGGAATTCTGGACAAATTTTCACTTCCTATTCTAGCCTGCCCTTCTCCTCACCATTTACCGGAACAACATACCTTGGCATTACCAGTCCACTCAAAATGCTTCTCATATCTGTCTTGGATGTCTTCACTTCCAAGACAAAGAGCCCACTCATGTACAGAGTGACAGTAAGGAGCTAGATGGACAACATGGTCCTCATACGTTGATTCTGTGGTTATCAATCCTAAGGGAAAAAAGGAAAGGAAATCTTCAGAACATCACCAACTTCAAATGGGCATGAGGTTACCACCAAAAAGGTCTGTGTTCAAAACGTAATAACCCTCATTATACAGGTGAAAATCTTCATTCATAAATACATGTACCTCACATAGCTTCCGTATTCAACAACACACAGCATGACCGTGTATTAACATTTGACAATGCCTGCTGCGATTTGACAATGCCCACTGCGTAAAGCTCGCTGGCAACTGGATATGAGACAGTTTAATCCATTCCTGTTGGTCAAGAGTCTGTGTGCACCACTGCACGCAGAACTCGCCACGCACACGTCAAGTCCATATGAGGAGATTCTTCTGGACTACTTGCACAAAGAATACACCATTAAATGGACGGGGGTGTTCAGGAAAATGAAAGTAAAATTCTTAAACAAAACCCTTGGAAATTTTTCGTATGTTGACTTCTTTTGACTCTATAAGACGGTATTTATGAATGGAATAAATATGTGCTTGGTTGGTCTTAAACTAATGTGTAAGATAAGCTCAGGTGAATGAACATTGATAATGCCCTTGCCTGCGGCTTGGGCATTAGTCGCGTCCACTCTCCTGAGCTGGTCTTAAATGCATGTTTAAGACCTGCCAGGCACAGTTATTCCCTCAATTAAATGGAAGCAAAAATTAACTGTTTTACCAGCAACCCCCACACATCTTTTTTAACCGAAGACGTCATGTTCATCTGACAGTGAGAAAGTTTAGCTGGGTTGTACTGGACACAGCAAGAGCAAAGTCAAGGGTTTGTTTAAGAGGGCATAAGGTGACCATCACAAGTCAAGACACTAGATCACTAACAAGACCAGTCACAAGACTGGTCAAAAGACCAGACCAGTCACATGTGACACAGTCAACAGTGACAAATGACAGTGGTGGTTTATTTGAATAGCATGTGTCTTGAATTCAGACTGGAGGTCTTGTGTTGGTGTTGTGATGAGTCTCAGCCACAACGATATCATCAGGTTCAGGAAGTTTTATATATTGTGCTGTTGGATTTTGCTGGATTTAGCAGGTGTCCATCGTGAACATGGGAAAAAGAGGGTAATGGTTATAGGGCACCCAGGATTCAGGTCAGTACCACTGTCAATGTTGACCCCATCTGTAGTGATGCAGCTCCATAGCAACAGGCCTGCCTCTTCTTTGAAGTGGGATAGCCAGCCACTGTCCTCTTGCTGCAATGTTGGGCTGACCAGAGCTCCCAGGTCACAGACAAGACGGTGTTTCTTGGGAGACAGGCAGGTTGTCATTGTCAAAGGTTACTAGTAATTAACCATGATGAAAGGACAACTTCTCCATCGTTGAGGTAATCAGATAAAAGCTGAAACGAAAAAAGAAGCTATCTACTGCCATACCGTTTTCTCAGCTCATTTAAAAAATATCTTGATGTAACTGTTGGGCAGAATTATGGCATCTATGCTATCTCTCCATGACACTGCATAACACATGAACTATCTGTGGCAAAACATTCAGTCAACTGCACATACAGCAACCGGCCCTGGCCTATCTTAGGCCTGTTTGTTTCACACGGATCCGGATCACAATCAATAATCTGTCGTACGTTCGTTGACACCAGAACCTGTGTAATGGATAGCGAGAACCACCTCTGGGATTACTTATTGCGATCCAGATCGGTGTGAAATGAACAGGCCCTTACAAATACACTTTGCAATTAATCATCAAACTACTACTATACCATCCCCTCCTGCATGATCAGTCAATCACACTGTAACGTACAGTCCACAACAGACAACTAAGACACCGCACAGATCACACCAACTTGTTCTGACAGCATTGCACAAAATGGGTCACTTCCAAGATAACTGATGCACTGATTTGATGGATAGGCGACGTTATATACGTTATACCTGAAACTGCACCTAATTATATGATCTATAATAACAATTCATCAGCATACTTGAAAAAAAAACCGAGTCCTAAATAAATTTTAGTCCTAGCGTAGGCAGCAATACCATGCATGACCGGCCACGACCAAGATTTATGTGTACATTTTAGGTACTTCTCATTACTAAACAGGTTATCGCAGAGTAATATGACACGAGACAGAAAAAATAAACCGTTGCTATTTCATACATATGAACATGTTATAAGCACAAAAGGTTTATGCTTTTAAATTCTCTTTAAAAACTAGTTTGTAAGTAGTTCATGGAACTTGTCTACTTCTGTGTGATAATGGAGTTACAACAGGGCTCGATTTTTTCGGTATTTAGAATACACTTTACCTCTATAATAATGGACAATTCCAATATGGCAGCGCTCAGTTATACATGTGCACTTCGAAACGCAATGCGGATTTTGGCCTCAAAATCTCGCAATTGTGATTTGTTAAGCAACAAATGGGCTGGCAGACCCCAAAGAAACTTACAACATCACAGACGATGTCAAACTTCGCAATTTTCGACCTGTACTTTTTCGCTTGCTGAGCAGAAGCAGAGCAGGAATTCGCTGTCTGACGACAGCCCGAGCGGTGCGAGCACCCTACCGCTCAGTGTGTTGTTGAAACAGGCAGAAGATAAAGTGAAGGAGAAGCAACAAGACGACGAACAGCGGAAGAAAGAACGCAAGGAGAAATTCGCTCGTTACCAGAAATGGGCACTGGGCATCACCGGTGTTATGCTGGGTGGGGCATCCCTCCTAACACTGTATGAACTTGGTGAGTAATTTCAGCTTAGATACATCGTGGAGTATGGTTGCAGCTAGCATGTGCAGCGAAGCCCACTGGCACTGAACATGCTGGATCTATTCATCATAGTCCTGCATTGGAGCTGGGATAACATGGTACAAAAGTGCAGCAACTATGTATAGCGTAGATTCTTAAACCTTAGCTGTTAATTTGTTTCATTGTAATCAGTAACTGTAATGGTTAATTATTGCAAATGTTTTTAAAAATAATTTTGGACTTAAAATCTTTGTAGATTATTAGAACTTACCCAGTACTTTGGAATTAACACGTTTACATTTATGACTCCCAAAGTTCCATCCCCTGTTTTCATGCATTTTCATTTCAGTTTTACAAAATCGGGCATTTAAAAATATTTCTGAAAGTGGAAAGGATTTTTGAAACCCTAAGTGGAAATTCAAATTGATGTCTTCATAAAGGCAGTTTTGTTGTTCTTTTACAGGTCAACCAAAAGTAGATGAACGTGGAAAAGCAGTAAGTCTCTGGTCAAGCATAAACAATGTTTAAACAGCACTTAAATCTAATCATTTAAATGTGTAAGAACGGATGGAGTTTGCAGGTTGTTGGATTAGTTACATTGTCAACCACAGAGAAAATGACTGTTATGCAGAAGGAAGTGACCAAGATCAGAATGTAAGGAGAAAGCCCGCACGCTAAATGATTGATAACCAATGCAAAAAGTGTAAAATCAAATTGACATTCTCACCCACGTTGCTTTGATAATCATGTGTATTCATTACTTGTAAAATTTCTGGCATGTTCAGTGTGTCTTTTAGTGTTCATATTCTATGTCGATCAACAACATTCAAGTGGTACGATGGGCATTTTTACTCTTTGGAAAGGGAACATGTCCTTGCCCCTTCAAGATGAACAAGCCATATGGATACTCCCACAGTATTATTGTATACATGGCTTTACCATCACATTGTTTATGCTACTGTTAGACAGAGAACCTGAAACTCCATGGAATGCACTTTGTCAGTCTTGTTGATATTGTATCCGTTCTTTCTCGTCATTAACCTCACTTCTTTTTTTTTCAACAATCTCTCCAGATTCCAGATGAGTTTTCGGACCAGTTCATTCTAGTAGCTTACATTCAGCGGGCTTTCAAAGAAATGAAGGAATATAGAACAGTATGCTTTGCATTTTTCTTGTTTTTTTTGGGGGGGGGGTAGCTGTGCATTTTAACCACTTCATGCCGGGGCTTTTTTCAATGTTGGTGATGCTGGGCCGGCATGACTATCATTTTTTCCGTTTTCAAAATCCTTCAAAAATTCATCATTTCACTGAACGGTTGTTTATAGCCACTTGAAGTAATCTTTAGGCACTACTCTAAGTTGACAGGTGCCCTTCATTGACGCCCGAATATTTCAGCCAGGCCTGCAGCCTTGTAAACAGAGCCCAGATTGTGTGGTGTTATACAACTCTCTTTTGTTCACGAACCTGGCTCAGTGCACTGCTGGCCTCTTTTCACTAGGAGCCAGATTAGCATGCAGCGGTGCTGTGTGGCTCATCGCTGCGGTGGTGGAGCACTTTTGTCCCCGGTGGTAATCCGCTTGCTCTCAATGCCCCAAACCCTGGTATACGGTTTCAAAACAAGATTGGATTATCACCACTTTTGAGAGTGAAAAATGTCAATAATGCCTAGCAGCCTGGTCTTTTGTTCGGAGTATGGTCTTTTGTTACAGGGCCCTGTTTCCTTTGTCCGAGTTCGGAGACCCCGGTCACCCATATAAACCATACGTCTCTGATCCCGGAGTCCCCGGCAGGAAGTGGTTAAAATGCAATGTAGCATTGGTGATATTGTGGCATTATTATTGTTTCCCTGGGCCTAACCTAAGTTTGAGGATCAAGTCTGAAACTGGTTGGGGTCTCGACTCCAGCCTAAACTCGGGTTCCTCCTCTGTCCAGAGATCACTCAAAGCGACTTAAAGGCAAAGGGAGCAGATTCGTTTTGGTGGAAATATACTGCTGATTATACAACAAGGATACCTGACAATTAGACTGCTAGTAACCTCAACAACAATGTGATTTATTCAGACATTCAACAAATAACGAATTGATTAAGTTATTAGGGATAATTCGTATTGGGTAAGCTTTATTACAACCTCTATTGCTTTGCGTGGTCTTGAGGAGAGGCTATTAGCAATACATAGCTAATATCTCACTGTGTCACGCCAATCAGCAACGCACTGACTAATGTCGCCTCGTGCAACTCCTATATGCAACGCACAAAACAATGTCGCATCGCATGAACGCTATCTGCAATGCACGTCCAACATTGCCAAACGTGAGACCAATTACCAACGTTGGACCCAAGTAGCACTGCACATGTCAATGTCGCACTGCCTAAACAAAATCGCATTACATAGCCCAGTGTCACTATAGCGATACGGCCCGCATACACTAAGCACCACGGCACAGTTGGCCCAGCCCAAATCTACTTTAATACACCCGCAAGTGAACGGCTGGCCCGTACAACCTGTGTAATGCTTCACGGAGACAATCTGCTCGCACCTAGCATATAGCAGTGTACACTACACCCTATAGCAGCACATGCTACAACGATAGCACCAAGAACTCACGTCTACACAGCTTCGCTGAACTGGCAGGATCTTAACAAAGAGCAAGCTCCGCCCACTTAAGTGCTCACCTTGAACACCCGCAAACGAAAGAGCTTACTACTTACACAGAGTGCTACGCTCCGCCAATCCTGTATACGTCACAGGACATGTACACACTACACTAGTCCTCATTATTACGCACAACAAAAGTTACGAAAGATCGTACACTTTCCGCTGCAATATTTTCTTGTAAATAGAAATCAAATTTTTGACTCAGACAGCACTGAGTATACAGTGTTGGAAAGTGCAGGTCATTGAAGGACACATTAACCAGTGAGGAAATAACATTCCCTCACACAAAATTACATGTTACAAAAATCACATCGGGTGCACCCTTCATTTGTAGGTCCACGTTCTTCTAGAGGTCACAGAGAAGCCATTTTTTGCAGTGCAATTGTGGGACATGGTTAACAAATTTTATTTACCTGCTGTGGTATGTACAGAGAGCTTGTTCGCGTGGTTTGCTTGCATAGAAGGTAGAGGTTTCTGCATGTCAGGGCTATTTAGTTCCAGATTTTTTTTATTTTTGTGAGGCATGGAATGCCCAAGTGTATCAAACATTTCCGCAAGTTGTCTACTGACATTTTCTCCAATCTAAATTGCTGCAAGTCAGCCACGCTTTTGTTGACCCCAATCTTGAAACATGGTCTCTTTGTGGGAACTTTTTGCTGGCACACTGTGCTGTGAGTCAGCTGTATTTAAAAGAAATGTTCTTGTTGGAATGCTTGATAGTGTTCAACTCCCAAGTTATGATTCCTGATGCTGTTACCAATCCCTAGATGATAGTGGAACCGTCGGCTCAGAAGCTTCTCCCAGACCCCCTGACGGAACCCTACTACCAACCACCGTACACCTTGGTCCTAGAGATGACCAACGTGCTAGTGCATCCAGAGTGGACGGTGAGAACAATGGCTATATGTATGTCCAAATCAACTGGCTATGGCTGGGAGTCACACACATACATGTACTTATGGCTAATGGCTCAGCCCCAAGCCAGTTGCTGCTATAGGGGTGCATGTTGTTTCTAGCCACAGCCTTTTGGTTGCAGCCTTACACTTGTCTAGTGTGACTTGCCTGATCTCAAAACTCTCCAAGTGCATGTGTTGTTATGGGATTGTGTCAAGGAGGACCCCTTTGTAGTGATGGGCACAATCTCTGTGTCTGAATGGTTAAATATTAATGTTACCCCAGCTTGTTTGACCTTGCTACGTGGGAAACATTTTATGGTCATAGCTAAGAGTCGGTCTATTAATTTCTCTTTAGTTTAGGGTATTTGAGTGCTTCATTGCTGGTAATTCTTGCTCAATTAAAGTTGCCAATGAGATATGCTACTGAGAAACAAGTGAACAAATTCTTAGTTACAGCTACATGTACTAAAACATACCAAAGTTGGTATCCAAAGAAATTGTACTTAGATTATGACTACTGGGGGCTTTTCGAGGGTTGAAAGAAAGTTTGGCCTTGTGAGATTTCATCCAGTAATAAACATTTTTTAAGTCCTTTATGCAGACTCCGTTTTAATAGTAACAGCAATATTATTTTATTTTGATTTTAGTCTGTAAGTGTAAATGCAAGATTTATGATTTTGTCTGTTGTCAGTATTCCAATGGGTGGCGATTCAAGAAACGTCCCGGTGTAGACTACTTTCTTCAGCAGGTTGGACCACCTCTATTTGAAATCGTCATCTACACCTCTGAGCAAGGATTTGTAAGTGCAAGAGATAGCCACCGAAAAAGGCCAAATCATGCCACATCAAACTCATGGCACTCATGGCATGAGAAGTTGAATTTTGAGCTGAAAACTGAGTTTCTCTTGTGCTGTATTGGATTCTTACTTGATCATAGGGCAGAGGATTGATGTAGTTGATGCAGATAGCATGTAATTTACTAATTGAAAGGAAAATTTGCTACCTTCTTGAGTAAAAGCAGATATTTGACGGTGTAAGTACCGGAATATAACTAAAGAATTTGGTTTTCCATTAGTATCATTATGGGTGTGTTGTTTGACCAGCCTGTAACGCTGTGGTACTGTTCTGACAGTCAGGTAGAAAGTGTTTATAATACAACATTAAAAGAGTAAATTATCACCAGAAGATTAATATGAGAATTGTTTTCTCCAGTGTTCTGAGGAGTCCACCACAAGCCCTTTCACAAGACCGATCACAAGATGACTCACAAATCCCAGTCACAGAGATCAGGGTGAACAGTGCTAAAGGAAATACTTTTGTGACACTCATTTGAATAACTTGTGCGAGGGCTGAGAGGCTGATTGGCTCGTGATGGATGTGCTGGGACTTTCCAATGGACCAGACTACAATACTGAGCTCTTCACTAGTTTTGCTTCCCTTTTCCCTCCATTACAGACTGGCTATCCCCTGATTGACAACCTTGACCCCAACGGCTACATCATGTACAGGCTGTTTCGAGATGCCACTAAATACATGAACGGTCACCATGTTAAGGTCAGTCATGCTCGGAGGAAAAAACAAACTGCCTATCAGCCAACTCCAGCTCACTGTTCATCATTTCACTGAAATTCAAATGGACAGTTCAACACTAGACTTTGCCTTGTTTGATGGATGCAGGACTGCACAGCGGTTTTGCTCTTGAGCAATTTACAAATGCTACTCTGAAGGTAGTCTCAGCAGACGACTGAGTTTAGATTGTATTGATGATGGGAACAAGTTCATATTACAGGTTTTGCCCTTACCCAAACAAAAACACTGTATACTAAGTGCTTCTCTGAGAGCTTGCGAAAAAATTCACAATCTGACTCGGGTGGGACTCAAACCCACGACCTCCTGCTTACCAGTGCAGACATCTTAACCACTCGACCACCGAGCTTGCCTGGGTTGGCTGGCCAGTCCGATCCAGGTGAAGCAGTGGGTACCGCGAACTATTTTCATCTTGAAGATGGAAGTAGGCCATGAGTAACAGAGGGTACTATCGAAAAGCAGAACCATATTCCGTTGTTGAATTTCAGCGTGTCCAGATTTAAGTGCAGGGAATGAGCCATAGGTTTTACCTGCCCAGTGACGGGTTACTGTGGAGTCAGTTTTCTGCACAGCCACAACTTAGAGTGGTCAGGAAGTTGAGATTGGCGTCTGAATATTCAAGCTCTATTCTGCAATACATCATCAGACCTGTCTTGTCTGGCTGCTTGAGGGAAATGGAGCCCTCTTGTGGTCAGATATAAATCCTTTTTATACACAGATGCTCTAGAGTCAGTTTATGATGGCATATTCTGGTGCCATTACCTCATCAAGGGGACAGTATCTTTTATTTGGAAAGCCGAGACTGAGTAGTGGAGACAAACATTTGTCCCCATAATGTTTTAGGTTCTCACAACATCTATGTTCCAACACGTGTGTAGTCCACACAACTACAGGTTAAAGGTAGATGTTAAACTCCTGTTCCCCTATTTTCATACTTAAAGTTTCTGTTCTGTTTTCGTCATGCACCCCTTTCAGGGCGTTCCTCTCCAAGGTGCAGTGGGTTTGTGCACATTCAATGGACAATCGGTTGTGCACTCTGCATCACTTGCATGGAGCCTATAGTGGTGCAGAGTGCATCACGCCTGGTGCACATGGGAAGACCATACATTGAAATTGCTTGCACATGCTTAGTGCATCCTACTCCAAGTGCGCGTGAGCCTTTGCATGTAAGCTGTGAGTTCCAACAAAAGGGCTTTTGTTGCTATGTAAAAACACGCCCTCTCTTCTTCACGCTCGGAGCAGATGTACATAGTCTGTACATAGTAGAAGATGTTGATATCTGAATTTCTCCCTTTGTTGTTCTTAAGAGTAAAGCCTAACACTGTGGATGTTGCCTTCTTTGTTTCAGGACCTGTCGTGCCTCAACAGGGACATGTCAAAGGTCATCTTTGTGGACTGGAACGCCAAGTCCTATTTGCTACAGCCACAAAACGCCTTTGGCCTCAAGAAGTGGGAAGGGAACGATGATGACAGAGTGTTGGTGGACTTGGCAGATTTTCTCAGAAGTAAGGAATCGTGTTGGCTTGATGCCACCCAAACTGTCATGCGAGAAAAAAAGAAGAAGCTAGGGCTTGTCATTTGAGAAAGAAGGCTCCAAAACACACACTTAACATCCTCCTGAGAAAATTCACCTCTTTGGTTTTTGTTTCTTACCCTTGTGAAAAGGAGTGGTTGAAAAGAACTGAGCATGATGTGCTGTATTGATTTTCACCATCATTCATGTTATGAGCTCTGAGTGCTTGGTGCTGTGATCCGAGCATTTGTGAGAGGACACATCACAATTTGATATGGATGGGAATTGAACTCATGACCTCTTGCTTTGCTAGAGTAGACACCATATGAAAACCCTTCTACCACTAAGCTTGCTGGGGCTGGTGTGGCTAGCTGTTTCAAACTGGAGAGGAGTGGGCTCCACCTTCCAAAACGCAAAAAATATCGCAATCAAAATGGTCGCTGCTGCCGGGTTTGGATGGTGGGTCACAGGTAACTTGGTTGAGTAGTGTCTTGCTCATCTTTGTCATATTTTTCTCTGGTCAGCGATAGCCGCTAGTGGGGTGGAGGATGTCAGACCAGTGTTGGAGCACTACAAGCAGTTTGACGATCCCCTGGGGACGTTCAAGGCAAACCAAGCCAGACTACAGGTAGGATTTTTCTCTGTAGCATCGTGTTAGTAGTTGCTCCAACTAGCTACACCTTCCTTACGGCCTCCCAAAAATGTAAGTTGTGTCGCATTGGTACATTCCAACAAAAGGTTGGTTTCTACATTGACAATGTAAATTAGGTTTGCAAAAATCTGTTTCGATTGTCTAATGCCAACTTTTGCCAGGCAAGATTAATCTGCTGTATTGTAAAAGTTTGTCACTGGAACTCTCGGTACATCACATTTTGATATGACGTTGCTCACACTGCTGAGGGAAAAAATGGGAGAACCTGTGTGAGTCTGTGCTCATCACTAAGATGAGACATTTTAGATTAAGGAGTCGGGGCTCCAGGCAGAGAAATTACTTCGGCCCTTCCCTAAATGGTCCACAAGAATTTGCCACTATTTAGAAATGAATAATCAAGCGCTTAAAACCTTGCTGTCTTTCTGCCGGTCCCACTTTGTCGTCCCCACTCTCAATGAGTGTCTTCACAAGAGCAAGCTATAGTTACAATACACCACCAGTCACATGCCTGAAAAGTTGTCCACTTTAGCACTTCCAAGTACATGGTGAAAATGTTGCTTAGATTATCCGACAGCTTGGTGGATTGTCCATTCCTCATTCCTTATATGCAGTGTGATGTAATTGCATTTAAGATATTTATATACTTATCCAAACGTCACACCAAAGAAAAATCCAACCATTGCATGTTGCCAAAAGACGTGATACTTAGGTGAAAGAATTCTGTAGGAAAAGCGAATGCCTTACTTTCTTATATTTATAATATTATTTCAATTCTTTGTCGTCGCAAAAAAAGAGGAGAGAATTAAGATTTCCTCAAAAATGTGCAGGTACTGTAGTCTGAATGCCTTAGGAAACTTAGAGAAATTGAAGAAAAAGTTCCAGCCTTAGAGTTGGGAGGAAATCCCCGGAATGACATTCCAGAGAGAGAACACAGAATCTGCTAGGGAGTGAAAACCCAATCCATATCGGAGTCGGTGGGGAGTTGAACCTGGATCACAGAGATCGAAGACAAAATAAAAACCGCTGTGCCATATCTGACTCCCTATCCAACCTGAGTTGAAGTGTACCCTCACCGGCAAAAGAAAGACAGACTGGTACCGAGAACTTTTCAACTGAATTCTTGCATGCGTTCGGCATGCACATGAAGACCATACATTCCAGGATAAAGTCGTTGCACGTGCCCACGCCAAGCGCACATAAACTTGCGCGCCTATGCAGTGAGTTCGTACCAAAGGACTGTCAATTTCTTTTTAAAAACATGCCCTCTTTTGTTCCCACTCAAAGCGGATTACTGAGCTGCCTAAATATGGCCCATGTTGTTAATTTCTTCCATTGAATGTTGATTGTGTAATAGGAGGGCTATCGTGTGGGCACATATGCATAGTTGTTGACAGATGACTGTTACTTGCACAGAAAGTAACAGTTGAGTTGGCAACATATTCTGAGATTTGCAGGTCACATATGGAACACACTAGACACTGTCTTCTGTAAATCATTTCGTATGGGAGGTTTTCCTCTTGGTCAATTGTGACTAGTTGTTTGCCTTTGGGAAAGTTATTTACTGGGATTACTGCTTGTCCTTTCCGTCCAATCACAGCCCTAGAAATTGTGCACACGGGTGCCTTACCCGCCTGAATGCACGCTGAATTCTTGCTTGGCATTACCTGTCGATGTTATCATTTGGTAACTGTAAATAACGTAGCCCAACTTGTGTGGCTGTGTGATGGATGCTCGTGACTGCAAATTATGAAAAGCGCATGAATTACGCTGATCTTGCCTTCCAGGTGGATGTGTCATTGAACCAAAAAATCAGCCCCTTTGTGTTGGTATAATCACTGTATTTGGGCATCAAAGAGAGTGGAAAGCAGATTACCGGTCACAATCTGAAAATATGCAAAGCGACTGATGGCACGGTGTTGAGCTGAAATTTCTCCAGCCAAATGCCTGAAGGAAGCCTTCGGCTGGATGGCTTGTGATGGACTTGTGATGGCAGGGACACATGATTGACTTTTGGTTGCCCTTTAACGTGCCTGTAGGGTGACAGTGTTTAATTTTGGTTCGCATTTGTGTGGCATGTAGAACTCTAGACTCTGTTCCAAACCTTGAGACAATTTCAGCTCCCCTCCGAGTACTGTCCTGAAAATTCATCGTCACTGCATCGCACATTCATGAAAGGAATATTGTCTGGTCTGGTCCTTTCCCTGTTTTTCCCCCCAAACTCCCCTTCCATTCCGACGTGTCAGAGATTTCAAGCTTTTCCGCTAGGGGTCACTGGACGACACACCACACAATGAATCATGGCATCATTTCCGTCTCGTATAATGTTTCGATGACGCAGCTGCCAGATGGGCGATGACGATCGTTGAGGAACAGAATTTTTTTTTGCTCTCTCTCTACTGATGTTAAAGATTTCCTTTTGATATATGGAGATGACATTCCATCGCAAGACGTGCCCATGTGTCAATGTTGGTAGTCAGGCCGGCATGTAATGTTTAATAAAGATGTCACATCTGCCTTGGAATGATATACACACGTTATTAAAGGAACATTGGCAGACTTTCTTTTCAGGTTGAATTTCAAAAAGGAGTTTCCTGGGAATATTTATTTATTATTAAATTATGCCATTTTGAAAAAGCACTTTGTAAATCACATACTTATTAGCTTCTGTGAGTGTTGAAATCTACTCAAAATCACTGAATTTATCTAGAATTAAGATAGACGTCGTCAGTCATCCACAGATTCAACTAAATCACTTTTCACTTTGCCAACATTCAGATTACTTGATCATTCACACTATTCAGGATGCTATCTTTTCTTATTTCCAATCATCTTTCTAATCCTGCTTTAATTAAGTAAAGAAACAAATTAAGAGAAAGTTTGGGTGAATTGGACTGACAAACAAGTCAGAGGAAATGATGGCGGAAGGGTGGAAGACTGCTACATGTATGTGTTAGCCAGATCTATACCTGTAAGGAGTCAGTCTTTGATTCTAGAGCCTCCTGACCATGAGATAATTCAGAGACATTTTGACTGTTTGCCATCTGGTCTCCTGTGTGCTTTAATGGACAGTTTGACATTTCCGTGGTCTGTTATTTCACGGGATATCCTTCCTCCACCGTCCAGCTTTATATTGCCAGATGCATGGCATGGTAAGGGCATCAGAACATTGATGTTAATCTAGCAATCCACCGAGGTATTTCCATCTTGTGTTGGGGGGAAGTTTATAGGAAATGATGCCCCTAACTGTGATCAAGTTCAGGCTGTCTTTGATAGCTACCCGATGCTTGTCTCTAATGTCATTGCCAGTGTTGATAAAGTTTGAATGCTTGATGTCTTGTCCCTTCGGAGGATTGGATTTGTTTGGTTTAACTGTCAACTGGTCCTGTGAATGTGATTCTACGGCATTTATGGAGCATTCAGCGAGCACTTTTGACTGAAGGATTGCCTGACGTTGTTACCCCTGATTGATGTGCTTACAGTCATTACTGGATCCATCTGTTCTTACAATGCAGTGTGTCTAGCCTTTCTGAGCAGTCTCAGTGACAATAATGTAGTTGTACATAGTTCAACAGGGCTTGCATTAAGATCGTTCCCTTCCAAATGTACCCCTAGCACCTAGGAATTCAAGAAACTGCCAAAAAGGTTTCAGATTCAATTCTGATTGAATTTCTGATTGACTTTCTGATTCAGTTTTTGACAGGAAATTCTTGGCCATAGTCTTCTTATTTAAAGGAAACCTTTACGTTAGAGAAACCTTGAAAGACACTGCTTGCTGAATGTAGCTACCTCAGTAATACTGGACCAGAAAGTGACCGTGGTCTGCTCTGATTGACCTCAGGAATACTGTTTCTTGTTGTTTCCACCCATTACAACTGCACTCTTCAAAGCTAGCAACGTGTATCAAGCTTAAAGCCGCTGCTTGTGATCAGGTTGTCTGAAATCAGTCAAAGAATAGTTTGTAAATGTTCTATGAGTCAGGAGACAAATAGGCTTTGATGGAAAACTAGTCATTTGTAGAAATGACTTGAGAATAACTTGCCAGGGATGAGGCAGCATCTTTAACTAGTTCAACTATTCACCCATAAAAATATTCTCACTCTGGGCACAGGTGAGGCACAGATGACTAGTGCCCAGCCTTTGATGTGTGTCGCAGTTTAGGTGGGTAGTCCTGACGTCAGTCCCAGGCAGTTATACGGCCTAGTAATTTTGGGGAGGCAACATAAATCACGGCCATCCAACAGCTGATAATGATGGCATCTGTTGTGTGAGATACCTTCCCCCTCCGGTAGTAATGGCTTGTCGGTACATAATTGCTGACCCAACGTTGTATTTCATTCTTGTCTCATCTTTCAGGGACTCCCGATCAGTTGGAGTTGTCCTGGAGTGTGTTGAATGCATTTGTTAAACATGTTTTTGTTCCCCCATCTCGTTTTCTTTGTCCAGGTTTATTTTAGGGTTTGTTAAAAGCAGCTCAAGCTGATGAGGATTTATCGGTTTCCAGTTCAGCCCTGTCTCACAGCTGTTTCCCCAACCACAGCTGTTTAATTTGTTATTTGTGATCCGCTTTGCGAGAAATAAGTCACTTCTCAAGCACCTGGAACTCCTGTAAGAGGTTATTAATAAGCAAGAAAGGTTACGAAAAATAGGTCGTTATACTTCGTTCTTTTTGTGAAATGCAAAAAAAAATCACTGTTTTTCGATTTCGGGCTGAGAAGTTGTCATTTGTAGTATTGGTGTCGAGACTGTTTCCATGTCTAACAGGCATGCTATAGTGCAATGTGGTACTGTGAAATTCAGCCTGAGAACTTCAACTGTACGGTCAGACTACATTGGGTTTTGATTATAAGAAGGAAGTGTAGATATTGGACTAAAACATGCTGGAAGTGTCCATATATTTGCATAATGGACCCTGGGAATGACTTAGATTCAAGTTCAATCCCGTGTCCTTTTTCATAGCTCTCTCAATATTGCATATCTTCATGTATGTAAAACGCCCGCATTCAAACTCCAAATAGGCCTTGTGCTTAAGCCTTTATCTGTGCTGTCCCTCTTTACAGTTGAGGTATCGGTAACTTGCGGACTCAGAAAATGACTGGCACTCAAGTTGAAGTCTCAGTCCTCTTGCAACTCTTTCAATTTGTCAAACCCCTGGTACCCTGTCAACAAAGTTTTAGTGTCAAAGCTTCATTCCTACTTTGTGACCATGTACATGTAATTTCACTAGACTTGGGGCTAGCACATAAGGGCTCACCTAAAGCACTGGCTCTTTGGTCGGCACTGGTGATGTAGACCGGTACATCAAAGTCCTCACAAGTCACTCCCGTCTTTAGCCAAGTCAAATTCTGTTCAGATGACCTCTGATAAAAGCACTCCTTTGCCTCTGTTCATCCTGCCACATGTGTCCTCTGACTGTCTTGTGACAATATTCAAATGTTCAATAATCGATCAAATATTCGGATATTCGGCACAGCCCTGTTAGTTTTGTCAGTCAGTGATGATTCATGTACAGTGTAGCAGCATTATCAGTTTGTGAAAAAAAAATGAAGTACATGCATATATGTAAATACTTCTTATTGTGTATTTTGGTTGGTACAGGCAGAACAAGAGAGGGCAGTGCAGCAGGCAACAGAGGGTTCTGCCAAAGCGAGCAGTTTGGCAGGCAGTTGGACACAGAGGCTGAGGGGAAGGTAGAAATGCAGGTTTTGGTAAATGCTGCATCAAGGGGTGTGAGAGGGGATGTTTTATTCTGTAGTCACATACTGTGGTCAGCAGGACAACTTTGTAAATTACCTCTATGCTGTGGGAGTCCTGCACATTGTCTTACACTAGCCAGTGATGTTCATGAAGAAACTCGTATAATCTATATGTGCACATCACCCTTTCCACCTACTAACGGTGAGCATTGTTACCTCAAATTACAATTCATAAATGCCTAACACAGTCTCCCTATTCAACATCGTGTACATTGACCGTGTACTAATATTTGATAATGCCCACTGAGAAGTGATAATGCTTGCTGCGTAAATTGCACACTGATGCCTGGATATGAGGAGTTTAATTGATTCTGATTGGTCAAGTGTCTGTGTGCACACGGCTTGCCGTGCGGGTGCCGAGTCCATATTAGGAGATTCGTTTGGACAACTTGCACAAGGGATATACCATAAAATGGACAGGGGTGTTCGGCAAAATGAAAGTAAAATTCTGTTACAAAATCGTTGGAAATCCATCACACATTGACTTCTTTTGACTTTCTGACTGGAAAGGTATTTATGAATGGTAATAAATATGTGCTTGGCTGGTCTTAACCGCTTGCTGCCGGGGAACCCCGTTTCGAGCACCATGGGTTTATACACAGAGCCGTGGTGCCCGAAAAGGAACAAAAGAGCTGGTCCGTGTAACAAAAGACCGTACTCGCAACAAAAGAACTGCTTCTGGGAATTGCCATCATTTTTCAGCTTGCATTTTTGGAAGGTAATCCATCACTGTTTTTAAACAGTATATTACTGTTTTGGGCATAGGGCGCCTGGGGATTAGCATCACAGACAAATGTGCTCCAGGGCCCCATTGATGAGTGACATGGCACTGCTGCATGCTAATCCAGCCACGTTGGAAAAGATGCCACTCACATTCTCTGGGCACAAAGGAAAATACGCAACACCTCACAATTCTGGGCTCTCTTTACAGGGCGGTAGGCCTGGCTGAAGGCCTGGAGTCAATGAAGGTTACCTGTCAGCTTAGAGTAGCCACCAAAGAGACATTCATGTGGTTGTAAATGTCCATTAAATGAAATGATGAATTTGTGAAGATTTTTGGAAACTGAAAACCTTGAAAATCGCATTGTATTTTTAAAAGCACCGGGAAGCATGTGGTTAAATTAACGCTTAAGACCGGCTGAGGAGACTGAACGCGGATAATGGTGAGGTAGTTGTGTCCAATTTCCTGAGCCTGTCTGAAACGCATGTTTAAGACCAGCAAAGCACACATTTATTCCCCTCTGGGTGTTCTTTACTACTATTCTTACTTCTACTGGACCAGTGCTAAAAAATACACATTTGCCATAAATTAGCAAGGCCCGTTCTGTTAGCCATTCGACAATATGACTGCCCCTTGACACCTATGAACAGTAGCTGACAAGATGCATCGGTGTCGAAGCTGAAACCATCTCAAGACTGTCCATAAGTAACAAGGTGTACAATGACAAAGGAATGCCTCATTAGCTTGTGACTTGAATGAGTCAGTTGGTTGTCCCAACAGCGCATGCCAAAAAAATGAAGCACGTCCGATGTCACACAACCTTACACAGCTATACTTGTGGGGTATTTCCTTTGTTCTCGTGTACAAAACTCCCAGACAACAGGCAAAAATTTTCAAATCACTCCCATTTGAACCAGATTCACTTTCCTACTTTGGAAATTCGACTGAACACCCCTTATTTAAAATATTTCATTTTGCGACAGACACTTGAAAATTCCTCCTTTTTGAGTAAATTTGAAATATTTATTTCGTGAAATCCTTTTCGGGTACCGTCTCAGTACCCCACAAGTACCCTATGGGGTACTTTCCATTGTTCCAGTATCCCACAAGCCCCTCTATACATGCGCATTTGGACGTGCACGCAAGGTCTGCCTTGTTAGTGCGGCCCAGTGCAAACTCACACCCGAACGACCTTGCTTTTTTTAAATTACGAACTGGCTCATTCAGCCTGGAAGTCTTGTGTCAGTCTTCTGATGATATTAAGGGGTCTTCATTACAACCTTGCAATGTGTGTGCCATGATTAGGGGGCGTCCTAATGTGTATGCAGATGTGTGCCTTGAGTAACATGCTTGGGCAATCGGCCATTGGCGAGTTGAAAGCAGGTACACTGTACATGCAGTTAAATAACGCTACCAAGCTAAGTGAAAATTTTACTACTCTGAATGTATTATTTCTATTACTAGCCGTAACCAAGTTATTCAGACATGGCCAAATAAAACTTGGAAAAGTACAAGGGGGATTCTAATGTATTGGAATGGTATCCTTCATTACAGTAGCTGTCAAGCCACAGAGGGCACGAATGTTTCCTTACTTACTTTGTCCAGTGTGTGCAGAAACTGTGAACAAGCTTGATATGTTTTGAATGCCATGTCTTTAGTCTCTGATAACAACGTAACATGGGGTATGCATAAATATGGAATCAGCTTGTGTTTAGGTTTTCTTTTCGTTTTCTTAATCGTATCTTTGCATATGTTTACATGGCTTGTGGGCTTCGTCCATGTATCTTTAATATTTGTTTATCATTTTCCATGTATCATGTGAGAAGTTATCAAAGAATTAACAACGGCAAAATTGTATATGACATGGGCACGTGTGCAGAACTCTTGAAATAGGAGTTTTATTTTTACTGATTAAAAACAGTGCGACTGCATCCACCAACCTACTTAAGACCCGGACATGGGCTTTTGTAGGCTTGGCAATCGTCCTTGAAAAAATATTTTTTTTAAAAGCATCAATGTTGGGTTGTGTAAAATCCTGTAACACGAGAGAATTAGGGCAATCTGTCCTTGGGGAGTCCTTGGAAGGCTCAGGAAAGATACATTTCAAAATGGCACCTGTCTGGGAACTTCACATGCGGAATTTATTGAATTGTCACATTACAAAATCAAATTTAACCTGCCCTGATAAATATCCCTACAACTTCAGCCCGACAATTCGTTTGAACCTGAGTTGTGGTTTACTCAAACCACTGAACTGTACAATGGACAGCTGTCACCTCAGGGACATGAATTAAGACCATCTTGTTTGGATGAAGAAAAGTCGATAAATTCGGTCTAATCGTTCAGAGGAAAAGGGACTAAAACGTCAACACTCCTCTTGATATCACCCGTTCTGTTTCCACTTGAAACATGTGAAGCAAGATATGGGGCGGAGAGAATCCCCCCCCCCGCCTTTGTGTTGGTCATTGTTTGATCAGAATCTCAGGAATTCTTTAGACACTTCTAGGGGGATGTGTTAGGTAACAATAGTCTAGAGTGTGTATAGGGATTGGACATGTGGGAGGAGGTACCCATCGGCCCCATATTGTGCACGGTATCAATGATTTTGATTTTGTGCATGTGACAGGTCTGGTGCCCAAGCCCTTTTAGGTCTCAGTTGAGCCTCTGCTGGCTGTATAACTGCTGTACATGGAATAATTTCCGTGTACAAAAGAAATGTTCCCATGCATTGTTACGAAAAATGCTAAATTGCAGAAGCTCTAATTCTCAAAATTTCAATTTCGTCTCAATGTACTTGTAGTCCCATGTTTATTTATCGGAATAAACCACTTCAGAGATATGTACTTGTATCTTTGAGTTACAGTCTGTCCCTATTGCCAGTGGTATACTGTTTCTTTTGCTTTGAAATCGGAGTTACTTCTTAAGCATTCTTAATGATTAACATACACATTCCTTACTTGAATATCTATTACAAATATAATGAAAATTGACATAAGTCATGCATACAATACTTGCAAAATAAAATTATGACATGCACTCTAAGATTTTTATTCTTAAAAATGTCCCTTCTCTTAACAAAAATCTGGGAACACAAAAAATAAAAATCAGCTGCTTGAAGAGAAAGAGTAAAAAATATTGCACCCTCTCTTAAAGAGAGGTCACTGACTGTTTTAGTGTCGATTTTGGCTTGGCAATGATTTGGTGGGGGGGGACTCGGAATGCCAAGAATAACTTTGCGTTTTAAGAACACTCGAGGGACTAGGAGGAACATGTCTACAGTGGTCCCGGGCTCCACTGAGAGGAAGGGGGGGGTTGGTTCAAGATGAAGAGAAGAGTGAGTCGCATTGCTGGCATGCTCGCCCATTACGCTAGCTTTGCGGTATGCCACCGACAGCAAGAGAGGAGAGAGGTGCCGGACCGAGTTATCTGATGGAAATGGAGCGTGGGAACGCTGCCTGCCGTGGCCGGGCCTGGTCGCCTGCTGCCGCGTCAGCGTACCACAGAGTCTAATATGTCTAATGCAACGTAAAAAATACAGCCAACAATCCTGGTGCCGATGTATTTTTCATTCATCTGTGAATGCATTCACCATGCTAAACTAAATGGCAGTGATGTTGTGACAATTGTTTTAAAGGTATGATCCAGATGTGCATCGGCTGAATATAATCAATTCTTTTTGAAAGGTGAAATATAAATTTGACAAGTACATGAATGAATCTACTCAAATACAAAGACTAAATTCACACACTATGTTTTTTACAAGTGCTATATAACTGTGTGGGGAATCTTTTTACACTAAGGGTCACTTTTAGAGACTTTTTGTCTGGCCAGTATACTATGACTTACATTACCCATCATCTTTTGTCAGAGCAAATATTTCAGCAAAGCGCATGGTAGGCAAATGACCAGACCATGGATGGTATCGGCCCAAGAAGCCATTTAAGCTATGGAAATGTGCATACTTAAGCATCACAAATTGGAATAATATCCAGCATAATCTATGTATCAGTTTTTAACAATTTACTTCCCAGTACCAACTCATCCAAGTGTGTAAACGCCTTCGATCGTGGACTCCCTATTGTTCCTCTTTTGTTCATACTTTAACTTTTTCGGAAGACCTCCCATATGTTTTGTACACGTTTTCCAACCGTGGACTCTTCGGTAACCGTGGACCCTATTGTCCCCTATTGTTATAGGTCCACGATTGAAGGCGTTTACACACTCAGATATGTTTACACTAAACTGTAACTTACATAGCTACAATACTCGTGCGTCCGCTGACCTACATATTCATATACCTCAATATAGAACAGCTACTTTTCAACACAATATCAAATATTCCGGACCTAAACTGTGGAATAGCCTACTGATTTCTCGCAGATGATGACGGTCTTATAACAGTTCCCAGCAGAAACTCATATTTTATCTTGTGCAATAGATTTCATGTGTCCTAGTCTCTAGGGCACGGTCCTAGTCTCTAGGGTCCTAGTCTCTAAGGTCTTAGTCTCTAGGGTCCTAGTCTGTAAGGCCCTAGTTTGATATGCGATTAAGTATACATAACCCCCTACCACAGTCCTTCCATTCATCATTACTTTTGATACTCAGTTTGTATATATGTAATGTTTTCCTTGTTTGTATTTTCTTGTTTGTTTTGTATTGTCTTGTTTGTTTCTTGTAATGGCATGCCTGATACGAGCTTTGCTTTTAAGGTTTTGCCACCTTTAGTGGCCTAGTTAAGGTTTTGCCACCTTTAGTGGCCTAATTAAGGTTTTGCCACCTTTAGTGGCCTAGTTAAGGTTTTGCCACCTTTAGTGGCCTAGTTAAGGTTTTGCCACCTTTAGTGGCCTAGTTATCTCATACATGTACATTGTTAGTACCTGTACCTGTATTTTGCCACAAGGAGGAAATAATGTAATTGAATCGAATGGGAAATCTTTCACAAAGTTTGGGGTAACAGTAACAAAATTCCTGCAATATCCCAATCGCTTCAAGGAAAATCCATCATCCAAACTAGGCCATCAGGTTTATCCTTTAATCTTACTAATTCCCTCATTGGTTATGTGCAACTTAATTGAAAAACTGCCAACAATTCTTTATGTATTTTAATTTTCCTGCAAAATACTGAACAGCTACCACATTGGCCTAATTAGGGGTGGATATTTCCTCTTTTTTTTCTTTTTTGAGTTCGAGTTTCATGCTTAGAAATTTTTCAAAAATAAATATTTCTTATTTTTTGTTTACAGTTAGTTTTTAAATAAGTAAACCCCCCAAATGTTATTTAATGAACAGAGCAATGTTTTTCTACATTTATCTGAGATCCAGACATAAAATAGCACAATTGATACACAACACCCTTTCGAATACTTTCAACACTTCAAAGACACAATGGTCTTTCAATGAGTCAACACATAAAAATACCAGTCCCAAATTAGGCCACATAAAAAAATAATTAGTTTAGCATCAACTCCCACCTCTGAAAAAATCTTGCCGTGTGGTTTTTTTTGTTATTGTTTTTCTTTAAAAGTTGTCTTTTCCCATGTCCTTAGCCCTCCCCTGTAGTTTCTACAATGTCCACACAGGATTGTGCACAACATGCAATCCTAGTGCACACACATTGTCATGTGCCCTTCTGTGCACGAGTCTGAAGTGAACATGACACTTTCGTTCCGTAGTTGCGGCAGTCCAGATCAGCATGCAATCCATTCATACCAAAGTATTTAAAAAAAAAAAATCTCGTACCTCCTCGTTTTTTGCAAATATGACTAATGCTAAACTTTTTTTTTAAGCGGCCTTAACTGAGACTCCATAAAAAAGTGGCTATGCATTTGAAACATATATGTACACGACTGTACTTTCATTGCAGGGGTTTGTTACCAAACAGTTCTCTTAAAATTACTGGTAGCAACTAATTTCCAAGTTTAATACTGTATAAAATAGCATAGAAACATTTCTACATAGAAACATTCCTACATTTCAGTTTTACATCCACAGCCACAGTTTGTTTTAAAAATCATTTTGAGAGAATCCAAGTTTTTCCTCCCAAGCGCTGAAGCCCCGATAGAAAGAGATTTTTCAGGAGTCTTTTCATTCAATTTGCAGTTGCTTCTTGTTGAATTGAAGTTATGGTTTACTCCTGCACTTGACTTGCCACACTTGACTTGTCCTCCCTGGGCAAAAATGAGAGGAAATAAGGAGAGATGCTGAGTTCAGATGCTGAGAGTCTTGAGAAAGAGCAAAAAGTTTGGTGGCGGTAACAAGAGGGATAGAGGGTACCAAATATTTACAAAGGCAATTTGAACATTCTGAATCTGCTTTCCTACTTAAGCAGAGTTCCTTACTGTAACACAGCAAAATGTTTCTCTTCATCACTTCCCCCAAATAACTAGCTGTGACTCTTAAGATCAGTTCAGAAATTTCTTGTCCATGCAGATAGCACAACTGAGGTGAGACAAAGGAAGCTTGACAACTCAGAAGACACATTAGATATTATATGAAACACATGAATGCTCGGCCTACACATGAGCACACGTGTGCATTGCCACTGCTAAAAGTAAAGACTGCCCTCATCAGTCCAGCCTTGTTCATGCTTGCACCTGTCTATTTACACTGATTTCAATAGAACCTGCCAGTCAAATTGTCTTTCTACCCAAGTCCTGGCAATACACACGATGTCAAATGAACTTAAATGTCAGCATAACACACTCCACAGAAGACAAATGGGGCTAAGGATTAACTGACTTAACTCTAACCCCCCCCTTTTTTACTGCCACAAGGCTGTTCCAAACTCCAAATGCAAAGAAAGAGTTTCACTCATTAAAATACAGGAATACAAAGAAAAAGATGAGGACATGGTCCTTTGCTTCCTGTATTTTAACAACCTGGATCTGTCACTGCAACATCGTCGCCTGCTTCAGGCATTACGGAGGGCCACAGTATCAGCTGGGGGGGCCACATCACAGGAACACAATATTTTTCATGCTTATGCTTTTACTGACGGGAGGGGCAGCTTCCCACGGGGGGGGGGGGCAGTCCCCTTGGGCCCCCTTGGTAACAGACCCGCGTCACCATCTATACTGAGTACATAGGTGGAGTTCCAAATCCAATCTGTAAAGGCTTTGGTACTACACTGTTACATATCAACACAATTACATGCCAATTCCATTCACTGCCACCTGCCATGCTCCTGGTTGCTATGACATTTGCACTAATCGCCGCAGCCAACAATGTGTAACAACTGCTGTCAAGCATAACCGATTCTCAGTATTTGTCAACAAGAAGACTGCATCCCACAAAAGGAGTCTCCAGGCCATTTATTTCTTTGGACGCATCACTCAATTTGGCATCCTGGTGAAACTGGACAGAGTGTCAGTAAAGAAATGTTGGGAGCTGCTATCGATTAATACATGTACATTTGTGCAAAAGTGGCACTGCTGACTTACTACTCATGTTAGGATGGGGTCACTAATGTGACAATCAGCTCAGTAGAAAACTTGGCAGCCTTATTATGCAAAACATGGTTAACAAATAAAAAAAGTCACTGTCACGCAAGAACAGTGACAATATCTGTCACTGTATTATAAAAAGGCCAAGCCCCGTCTCTTAGGCAATGTTTCATTGTTGGGATCAAGTGAGGGCAGTATTTAGCAGACCACTAATCATTCAGTTCTTTCATCCTATATAGAATAATTTTTCCAGTTCTTGGTACCCAATTACACAACCTTACCCTCACTCATTCAATCAGGTTTTCCAATTCTGACTTCTGAAAATTCTTATTTTTGTTTATAAAGCTTCAAAAAGCAAGCTCCTGGTTATTTGTCAGATTTACTCACAATTCGAGAGTGTTCAATAGTCCCTCGTTCATCTCTCAAACACGCTTGGTTCAGCCACAATTTAACTTGGATCACTATGGCAGGGGTGCCTTCTCAGTATCTGTACCCATCCTTTGGAACAGGCTCCCATATTTTATCAGAAATGCACCCAATCGTTTGTCATTCAAAACAGCACTAAAAACACTAGTTTCGTCAAGTTTTTAAGTAAATTCTTTATGAAGTGATTTAGATTTTAATGTATGTACATGTATATTTTGTCTATGAATGTACTGGTACATGTATTTTCATTTTGATGTACATGTACTTGAAGTGATGTTTTAATGGGCTATATTGTATCTTTAAATTTGGTTTTATCCTATAAAGCACATTGAGGTCACCTTATGATTGTAATGTGCTACATTATATTTACAAACAGGTTATTTGGGAGACATTTTGTGGTAAATTTTTCAGCATTAGGGAGATATTGGCTTTTAGGGAGACATTTCAGTGTCTCCTTATTTTCAAACTACCAAAAGGAGGCCGAATTTTAATGTCTAGATTTTGAGAGATGATAGATTAAGGGCTAAAATGAAAACATACAAAGTTTCGTTCAGATCAGACTAGGGAATATTGAATTATGGAACAGTAAAGTTGGAAAAATGTTGTGCATGTTCTTATGGGAATGTCTCCCTAATGACCCATTAGCGGCAATTTGTTATTATTATTATTTTCTGTGGGAGGGATTTTAAAGATGTTGCCATGGATTTCAGCAAAGTAAGAAGCACAGCTACATGCCGAATGGTCACAGTGAGTAGCCTGGTCTATATGTAACAACCCCCCCATATCTTGTCCACCAGTCAGCAAAACCTCTGGTAATCAACATCTCATCAGATGTTGCATAAAGGTCAACTGCCAGTACCAGGTGAGGTTTGGACACCCGCTTTGATTACCAATTTCTCCCTCTTTTTTTTTTTTTGCACAAGCAGAAGAAGAAATCACATGTACCCTCAGAAGGCGATCACTTTCTCTTGTCGCTGTTGCTCCTGGTAAGGTTATCAAAAACAACGGACTGGGCTGACCTCTGTCAGCGTCACTGGCCAATTTGGACAAAATGCCCTTGCCGTGGGCTCATTCAGGGAAGGCAGATGGGGGAGAGAGGTCCGGCTAGCGAGGGACTGGGCAAAGAGGAGAAACTGAGAGAGTGCAAAATGGCAAATTAGCCTGGGAGAACTGGACTGATGAGAGAAAATGGGATAAGAATCACGTGAATACGTAATTATGGCCTGCCAGAGGACACCAAGGCTATGCGTGTAATATCCGAGTGTGACTTCAAACTGAAAGGTTAATGCATAGGCCTACCCTTTTTTGCTAGGACACACTAAAGGTCAACACTTTCTCATCATTCATTTTTGACATTTAACTCAAGAATCCCTATTATGTACTTATTTTGTTTAGACTGTAGACTGGCCCAGTGCGGGTTTTATGAAAGGGTTTCCTTCAAGCTTGTCTGGCAAGGCTGGGACACAGACAGCAAATTATACAGAAATGGACTTTACACACCCTTAGGGTACGTATGTTCATTGATTGCTATTGTAGCCATGTACCAAATGTTGGCTGAGTAAGCAGGACCATAATTGATCTAATTCCACTTATTTTTCTTTGTATGTGGAGAGGACTATTGATATATAACTCCATTATTTCACAGAAATACTGCAGACACAAACTGCAAACATGGTTCAAGCAAAAAGTAGCCAAGCATTGATATATACAGAACAAAAACATGGACATCGCATCTTCATTGTTGCTGTCTGACAGAGCTATATGTAAGTGTGTTTGCCCCTAGGGTTCATTAGTGTGTTACACAGAGGACCGTGAGTGATAAAGAAGTGGTTTTTGTTCTTTCTCGAGCAAGAAGAGAGTTCAATTGACGTGTGGTGGGCCGCTTTGCAATCAATATGTTCTGCATTTGGCAGGCAGGTCTGACTGCATCTGCCGCTGACATTCTGAGGTCAGAAGAATAGTTTGCGATCGTCTGGGAAGTCGCATACACAAGCGATCATTGTGGAAATGCTTGCTCAGAGTAACAGCCGGACAGATACAGAGGGCCAATGAAGCCTAGCACGTGGTCATTTGAGAACAAACAGTTTCAAACCAGAACCCACCAGTAGTGTCTGAAACCTCTTGCTGTGCAAAATGTTGTCAAGGAACGCAGAGATTGGAGGTACCTCAGTCACACTAGTGTCACTATTGGGAAGGCTTGGTCTCCTCTCTTCAGGAAATTAATTATCTTGTTATTTGAAAGCCGCAAAGAAAAGACATCAAGTTCCAGCCACTTCTTCCATTTCGGGTTTTGACAAAGCAACCACTGGCTGAATTCAGAGTACACACCAACTGAAGAGCTGAACAAACAGACAGCATCCCCCACAAATGTAATATGACATCAAATCACTCTCGGCCATGGTGAACAAACAATAGCATCCACAGGGACATAGAGAGATGTTGTAAAAGGATGTTTGTAAGAGCCCGGTGCTCATTTGTTGCAGGCTAGGCGGAGGGGATTCTAATAACCCAAGGCCCCACAACACCAAGTAGACGACCTGAGCCTTGCCTCGAGGGGGTCCCAGGCTGGATGACCAGGGACTGCAGGATACCGGGAGGGAGTGTGCAGGTTATGTTAACCTCATTAAAGCCTGCCTGCAGAGTGCGACCACAACAACGTGTTGCTGGCCACACTAATCACACTGATGTTCGTTATGCGGCGCAGCTGCCTGCATGCGTGTGGATATACACCGTCCGCTAATCTGCCAGCCTTCCGTGCGAGGTATATTAATTGCACTCCCCGTTTCTCCCTATTGCTGGCTTTAAGAGGGTCCTTAAAAACTCTGCGTGCCGAAGATCCATTTGCCAACATTTTATCTAGTCACGCTACCGCAATTAAACCCCACACTTAATTACGGCAAACCCATTATTCCGCAGCACGACACAATTTGCCTTTAAACCACTTTAGGCCAGTTTTTTGCTGGAAACTGTCCCACGACAAATAGATATAACTAAAAAGGTCCCCAAAATATTTCTGAACTACTTCATTCGAGCCAAGTGTTGACCGTAATTGATAACTAGGATTATGCCAATGTAGTATTTAAGAATCTTATACATAGAGAATTAATGACTTTTTTATAGTGTTGCGTCTCAGAGTTGTGTACTTGCAAAACTCTATACATATGAAATCAACCAATTCAATCATAATACACAGGCTTATACTGCACACAATGCACCATTTGTTCCATTTTCAACAAGATTGCTTTTAATACAGCAATTTGAAATGATTAAAAGCTGTTCTCTGCTCTCTATGGTAGTTATTTATACCCCTGGGTAAAGAAAGGCAATTGCAATAAAGTGTCTTGCCTGTCAACACAAACACAACAGCCCACACGGGTAGCACAGTCCACTTTTCAGGAACTGCACACGAGCGCACACCCTTAAATGGTTTCCTCCAAAATAGATTCATCAATTCAAGCAAAATCAACAAATCAACCAGATTTAATTTCATAATATAAATAAATTATATATATATATGAATAAATTCAGATGATAATAATTTGAATTTAGAATATATGATGTTCCAAGATAACCACTCAATGAGAGAGAAACATTTACAGAAAGGTTGAAGTAAATACAAGTACAATGCCATGAAAAAATGAAAGTCTGAACAAGTTTAATACATTGCAGGCACGTAAGACTGAAAAGGATTATGCAATCTGAATCTCGTCAAACTTTGGGGTATTTGGCCTACCAATTTCTGTGTCATCAAAGTACCTTGATCAATGAAACTTTGTTCAACTGCACTTGTTGAAAACAAAGAGCAGCTGGACCTGAATACATGCTGAAAACGGCTCTTACATGCTTGAATATGGACATTCTCTAAAGTGAAAGGATTTGGTATAAGTACCTTTGTGGAGTTTTTTCTAAATATCTGCCATGAATGAGTGAGATTACCTCTGGAATTTGTATGTACTTACTACTGGTGCTCTGAAACCGGTGCCCGGGAGTAGATACATGACCTCACCAAGTAGAAATCCTCAATTGCTGTTGCCTGCAACAGGTGAACAATGTGAACGAACTCAATCCGGGATATCGGCCTTTTGTTTTTCTTTTTGTTGCTGAAGCAGGCTCTTTAGTGTGTGCTAACCCTTACCTTCCCCAATCCTTCATAATCTATCAGGTTTTAGAGGATTTTGTAGGATTGGATAAGGCAATGTTCATCTACCTACATGTATTACTGTGGGGCTTGATGCCCCTTGAAGGTTAAGAGAACAAAGAAAGTATCACTTATGTTGCTGCACAGTTTAGGATATTGGAGATGGAACCGAAGTTCCTATCGAAATAGATCATTTACAATGCACATTTACAACACTGAAGAATCTTTGCTTTGAAAAACAATTCATTCTTCACAATTCAAGGCAACCAACATCTCGTAGTCTACCAACTCCCATAAAAATCATTGGAAAGATTTAATCAAGTATTTACAAATTGGAATGAAAAGTAAGACAACCTTGTCTTTGCAAAAACAACATATGGTCAGTGGCATCTCTCTGAACCCTTCCATTCCTGTGGGCTAGTACCGATTGGAATCACACCCTTCTCCCCACCTTCATTGTAGTAACCATGGACTTCAACAGTACCGCCACCCTTGGTTCAGGTACCTGCAACCCCCATCAATCATGCCTCCCTAATCGCAGGGAGGGATGTTGCTGTGGCAGTTCACCACACTCACACACCCTCCATTACTAACAGCCACACCCTAATCTTGGCTGTCCGTCCTAACCACACATTTCTCTGGTTCAATGATTGCTCCACTAATCCCAACCACACTCAACAACCCCAAACCACGTGCAGCAGTCACACCTCTTGCTCGTTCTTCATCCTGGTTGGACGAAACATGGTCATATTGGGTTCACTAATACAGGCTCGTGCATGAAGTTTGCATCAGCGTGAACTAGATGTGCGTCAAGAAGCATTGTGCCCACTACACTCCAAATTTTTGACTGGTTATAGTGTTTGAAATTATAAAATCCTGCAAAGTGTCTTGTGAGTGACCAGCAGATTGACCTGCATGTACAGTACATATTTCCCTCGGCTGACCCTCATCTGGTCACTCACAGTCCCTTGGGGTGCATAGACATGCATGAGTAACTTCATTGCTAGTCCAGGTGTCACTATCCTTCCTCAAAATTTACTGGCCATTCTCATAAGATTCCTTTCAATAATGATAAAAATACTAATACTATCATATAAGTCTTCAAGTACAACTTTCCTTCCCAAAAGAGTTCCTGACCATTTGCTGTTTCATCCTGGTCTAGCCTGCAACAATTTACTTGTGACATGGTATGTTCATTTGCCTCAAGAGATGATGAACTGCTCCCCAAGGATTGTGCAATGTGTACTTCATCAATCAAAAACTGATTCTGACTTTGGAGACAGCAGCCGAGATTACTTTCTGTCCCTTTCAGTGGTATGATTGATAGTCAGACAAAGCCAGCACCACAGCACTTCCAGCCGTCACTGCTGAGGACACAAAAGCTTGTCAAGTTAAGTGACGAGTCAATGTCTACCGCTGTTCACCTTCCCACAATCGAGCATCAATGCTGCTTTTAACAGGCTAAAAAAAAGGAAACGTTTTCACTGTTTTGCTTCCAAATGCAAGTCAACTTTCTGTTCTGTTTTTCTTTGTCTTTTTTTCATGGGGGAGGGGACAATGCAATGGTACTGCTGTCAGTAACTGACAACATAAAAGAATGTCTGATGAACAAAGCTGGCACGTATCCAAGCACACAAATGATTTCTAACAGCGCATGGGGCCTACTTCCCCTTCCTGGGGTTTCCATTTTTGAAACTCTATTTCCTGTCTGCTATGGGTAAACAAAAAAAAAGAACATTTCTTTCAAAACATAAATCTAAAGGAAATGGCAACTTTCCTTTCTCAAACAAAAAAGCCCCCCCCACACACACACACACAAAAGGGACTGAATGTTGAGTGATTGTTAATTGAAATGGTCCAGACTTGACATTACAAAACCCGAGGCCTAAACTCCTACAACAGAAACACAGACTGAAAGGGTTGACACTCGTACCAAAGGCACACAGAAGCAGCAGGATTATGATTTATGAACATTTCATTGACAGGAAAGCCTGTTGGCGCAGAGGGGGGCTCAAAATGTAAAAGAAAAGTTGATGGGATGTACATGAGAAATAGTAAATCCCCAGCAGCTGCTCCCAGTAACCATTCTTTCTTTCTTTTCATTCCCTTTTATTTCTTTTAGATTTAAGAGTGGCCATTTATGGCAGATCCGACCGTAAACGCCAACCGTTCCTCATTCAGCAAACATGCATCACTGAATATAAACACGTAAACTCCCTCCCTCGTCCCCCTGCCAGATTTTGTGGTGGAAGAGAATGTGAGACCAAGCCATCTGTATTGCTGCATATGCGCACGATTTGGCACTGGTCCAGAATTGAACAGCGGGAAGCCCTCCGAGGGCATTCTCCCAAAATCTTCTTCCCCAGGATCTGCAAAATAATCATGTTCTGACCAGAAACAAGAGAAAAATTTCTAAGATTTCCGAGTCATGAATCCTCGTCTTTTTGGCAACTTTCAATCGACACACAAGCACACAAAAAGCAGTCATCCCACCCCGCCCCCATTTAGAATTTGGACTGAGGTAAATCAAGTGTCCAGTGCATTCAGTAAGCAGCTCAAAGCATACCACACAGCACAGTAACCTGTTGCACCGACCACATGGACACTTCAGGAATGGAATTGATGAATCCAGGCATGTGATCGCTGTCAAGTCAGGAAGCACCCCACCCCATCCCACCCCACCTCACCCCTACCCTAATGGAGGAGCAAATGTGCCAGTCAATGTTGAGAAAATTTGTCTGATCCAGATCTGGCATGCTGTTTCCAACGTTACTTAAGCCTTACGATCCTGAAATGGTCACATATCCAAATTCTTCTCAACAAAATCTGGATTCTGACATAGCTAAGAGAACAAACACAACACCCTCTCACAAAAGCTGTGTTTTGTGGTAGGTGAGAACATGTTCTGAAAAAAAGGGATTATTTTGGAGGTATTGACACTAATCATCGTTTTTATTTCATTTTTGCTCTGGCATATCATTGATGACAGTTTTCAGAAACTGTGGTCTCGACAAAAGTGTTAACAAAAAGGTTTTTAATGTTTTTCTGAAGTGATATATGCATGTATTACAGGACTTCTGGTGTGAAGTCCTAGTTTTTACACAACAAGGGCAACCCCTGTTGTCATCTCCTCTGGGTCTCTTCAAACTGATTTTGGCATCCCAGACAAACAGGTATCATCATCATCATCATGGACCTCAGGGAGGATCTGCATGACAGACTCAGTGACTGACAGTGGCCATCAGAAAGCATTAACATTCCAGAATTCTGGCCAGACTATGGGAAAAGGGGGGGATTCATCCAACTTTCTGCAATCTGATGACAGACCGCATAGTTCAGAAAACAGCAGATGAAACCAGACCTGGCATGCATGGCTGCTAAATTACTGACAGCAGATGGGCAAAGAGACAGTCAGAAATGAGGACAGGAAAAAGGATGCAGGAGGGAATTAAAACATGTCTTATTCCACCGTCAATACTTTCGGAAGATGCTCCTCTTTTGGAACTGGCACATTTTCACTTCAAAATTAAAAAAGAAAAGGACATTTTCTTTTTTTTTCTTTTTTAATCAACTGAGCACAAGGCCAAGGCTACTCAGAAGCGTGGACCAAAGACTGAGTGAACAAAGAAACACCAAAGTCATGACGATGGAAGGTGTTCACATTTTTGTTCCAGTTGTGAAGAAGTAAAAGGAAAGCCAGAATTGCGTAAGGGGTGCAAAATAGAAGAAAGACAAGGGGAAATGGAATGTCTCAAGGCTAAAGCTGTTTGAAGTAGGGTGGTGAAAAGATGAGATGAGACAGCTGGGCTTGTGGGCCACTTGAACATTTGGACATCAGGAATTAGACTTTAAGGTGAGGCCTTGTCTATTCCAAGGGCAAAAGGAAAAACCACAGTAAGATGGGTATGGAGAGGTTCAAGCACAGACACTGGGTCCTGACCCTGCAGACCAGAGATATATTTCGGGATTTTATCAAACGGGGCAGATGACACATTGAAGCTCAATCCTGTAATTAGCTACAGTGTTTCATCCCAAGTCATACAGTTACCCCATTCGGATGCCGAATTTCAGAAGAGGACTGGTAAAAGGAGGGATCGTGGCACCAAGTGCACCCTGACCTTTAGAATAAATGGAAGACATTTTAAGAGACTGACTGTGGTTGGCAGAGCTGTCATAACTGAGAAATGATCCCCGGTATCTTCAGAAGCCTCTGTTACACCCTTGGGGAGTGAGCTTAGAGCTCTTGGGACCAGGCTGAGCTCTGGCAGCAGATGTGGGAAGGGGGAATGCGCACACTTCCTGACAGACACCTGAGGGCTGTATTTCACCAATTTCTAACCTGCCTGAAATATGCAAGCTTCCCAAAGAAGATTTCACTCCAGGAGACGGAGAACCCAAAAAATACAAAGTGTGCTAAAATCAGCTATCTATGGCCAGCATAGATTCCAAAATGTTTTGCTCTTGAAAAATTCTTCAGCTGGAAACATATTTCTTTCCTTAAACCTGAAACTGAAGAAAAGGAGGTGACATTTTTTATATTATAACCACAAAAGAACATTGAAAAATGAACTATTTTCTCTAGCTTGACACATTTTTAAGCACAATATATCCAAACTCTTTGGAGCTGTTTATTGGTACCCATCAGAAAAAGTTCTAAACTATCATACTTTTCACACAAAATGTTAAATTGCTCCTTCTCAGCTGTTTTCATCCATAAACTGAGATTTCCTTTCTTTTAAATTGCACCTAGACTGGCCTGTTTGATTTTTCTCTTGAAAAGTGTACTTGATAACTTCTCTTTAATCTTTTTTGACATCTATACAGGGTTTCAACATGCTCAACATTTCAACATACACTGCTTTTTTTCCCTTTTTTTGGGCTCTGTGAAATTGTTA